CCATCATGTATTTTCCATATTTTCTCTATATTTTCCATATATTTTCCATATGGGATTCACCCAATTTCATACACCATCCCCAACTTTGACCGCCTGTGGGGTCAGTTCCACTTCCAGTTGGCCTGTGAGATACTGCTCCTGCGGAGCACATATCCACTGGGGGAATGGGGATATCCCAAGCTCGCTGGATGGTTTATTTCATGGAAAATCCTATGAACATCATCTATTATCTATGAATTTCTGGATGATTTAGGGGTACCCCTATGACTTAGGACACCTCCAATCAATATCAATTTATATCAATTAATGCTGGTTGGTGGTATACCTACCCCTCTGAAAATATGAAAGTAAGTTGGAATTATGAAATTCCCAATATATGGAAAGTCATAAAATTAATGTTCCAAACCACCAACCAGTTACTATTAATTCACCAGTATTAACCAGTATTAACCATTAACAATCGCTATATACCCATATTAAATCTCTATGGTCACTTGGTGGCTCATGGCCAAAACAATCAATTAATCATGGCCATCAGATCATGCGCACTTTCCAGCTGGTTGGTCCGTAGATATTTCGACACACGTGATCGCTTCTCGCTTAGGGCGCTACAGAGATTTGGTGATTGTGACCATTCCAAAGAAGCATATAGTATTATAGGGGAATCAACATATATACATATATACATATGTATATATATATACATATGTATATATACATACGTATATATATATATATATGTACATATATACATATATACATGAATACTAATATATATATATATCTATACATATATATAATAATAATAATAATGATAATAATAATAATAAAAATAAAATAATAGTAATAATAATAATCATGTATGTCATTATGTCATATACATATATACTGTATATATATGTATATATATACGTATATATATATATATATATCATATGGGGGTTTCTTAAAATGGGGACTCCCCAAGTCACCATAGGTTTCATTACTAAGTCATGGTGGAATGACTTGGATGATTGGATGATGCAAGGGGGTACCCATGACAAAACGGAACCCCCCGGGTACCTCAAAGAGCTTGTTCTCGCCAACATACGAGGAGATCATGCGCTTGATCTGCCTGGGCTGCTGGGATTTGACTTGGAATACCTGGAACTCGCCCTGTCGTTTTTTGTGAAAGAACTGTCGAAATGGATGTTCTTGAACACAACAAACCAGAGTGATTTATTCAAACATCATGAAGTCAATAATTTGGATGAACACTACTTTCAACAGCGGGGGTCTCTCATGTCACGATTTTCAATGCTGAATCTTGGTTTTTAATTAAATGGTTCGAACAGGGTGAAACTAGCATTTTCCATGACTGCACCAACTGACCTACTGCAACATCATCGCAGCTGGATTGGATCCAGTCCATGTGAGCCCGAAAAAATAATCGTCATGTCAATCTTGGACTGATCAATCCCCAATTGAATCATACATACTTATATCATATTCAATCTGATAGTGATCATCATTGATAAATGGGACCAATTTATCTGATATTTCGAATATTTTCGAATGATATTATTTTTAAACCATCATTGATGATCTCTAAATAATCTCTAAAATGATCTGATAAATTGGGACCAATGACCAGTCCAGTCCAGTGGCGCCGTGGCGCCTCGACTGGAGCAAAAGGCCCAAGCCAAAATTGTCGACTCCGGCGTTGTTTGACACTGCCTCGGTCATCAAAAATGGCATGACGGCTGGGGTCTGGATGGGTCTGGTCATCCGGACCGGAATCCTTACATCATGGGATTTTTTGGGATTCCAATTGCCATCAATGGCCGATTTTCTTGGATTGACAACCAGCCCCCAGGTGTCTGATCCAACTTTCCATTGCACAGCTGATCTAAGCAATGGACAGTAAGGTCTTTCGTCCCCTGTCGCAGTCAATATCGGATGAAGTCGGCTGGCATCCAGAAAAAGTCGGGAGACATTTCTCTATCTTTTTGACCTCTAAAGACCTGAAGTGTATTCATTCATGTCCTACTGTTCTACCATATTTATCCTTTGTCATGATTTTCCAATCTATGAGAACAACATAGCGTTCTACAGGCACCTTCTGTTGCAGCGCTTCAATCAAATTCTCAGGGATGCCACAAAGACCGAAGCCACCTGATTGTTGGATGTATGTTGGATGTGGATCTGAACAGAACTGAAAATAGGGGAAATCCCGCGGGAAAAACGCCCCAAAATGGCTAAACAGTTATAAGCAATGATTGATGATCAACCATTGACTTTAGGGGTACCATAGGGGTAGCCTATTTTCAGACAGACCCATGTAGGGTCATAGAAATGGCAGACCGATTCAGCAGCATTCAGCACATCAACTTTTGGTTCCAACATGTTCCAACATCATATCACAATTATTCTCAATTCTTCTCAATATCCATGGTGCATACTGTAGCTATAGACGGATCTTGTGATATGGGCGTCTGTGAGAATGGGGTATGCCCCCCCAAACTAGGGAATTTACACCATTGAGTTGAGTTTTTCCTTGAATATCTTGAATGTTCAGAGAAAATGCATGGTTTTTCCGTGCATTTTCGTTAGTACCGAGGGAACCATTTTGGCACATATCCACCGAGGTACCGATACAAAGCGTGGCACCATCGTGCACGTCTTTCAGCGCTTCCTGTGCTGAAGCCACCACCTCAAATGACGCTGAAAACAGGCTTTCTGTCTCTGGAAATGGGGAATGTGCTAAACAACATGACCATGGAAAGAAAAATAGGGAAATGGTCGTTGGGGAGGTACTTTCCAGAGATTTTCCCAAACGGCTATGGACACAAACCTTCTGTTCACATCAAAATAGCTGGATATAGCCCATGTATAACTGTGTAGCTGAATGCTTCCTTGAGAAAGAGAAACACCATTGGAATCTGTTGGATAATTGTAGGTGTTGACCTCACCAAAATGGTTCCAACGTGTGGTTCCTTTTAGGCTTCAGTGACTTGCCACATCCGATGTTTCCTCATCCTTGGGGATCATTGGGCGGACCATCATCCAAAAAATGCGTAGTTGAAACCACCAAGCAGTTACAGTATGTTACGGTTATCATTGGCTAACCTACATTAAGCAATCCCCTATGGTTGCTGAAATCACCAGTTGCCATAGCGAAAATTCCCATCTTCGGTGCTTAAAAAACCCACCGAATCGCGCCTTGCTCGCAGAAGAGAAGCTACGGCGTCTGAGCCCTGGGATTTTTTCGCAGATTGCGTGGCGATGTTCACTGAGAGTTCTGTGTAGGAACCCTGGATCAAGTTTGATACATGGTCATTAGCAATGCTGCATGTATCTACATGTATCTACATGTATCTGGGTAAATTATAATATTTCATTACCCTGAATCTTGCGGCCATTTGGGGATCATTTCCCTTACGCCTTACGATTTCCCTTAGATTTCCAGGCTTAGGGAGAACAGGGTTCGGTCGTGATGAAATTTACCCAGATTGATTAACCAGCTGGATTGATTAACCATTAACCATTAAACACTATTAACCACGACATTAACCATTAACCATGTTAGATGTTCATACATATTTTCTTCGATCGTTCTTAGAGATTTTGATGAGAAATCCACCGACCATCCAAATGGTGTCTCAAAGGATGATCCAGAAGCTCTCCATGTTTCGAGCCAATCAAAGCATATCGAAATGACCAGTATTAGCATATCGAAAAGGATCTATAGAACGTGAAACAAAAGATAATCATTGGTCATTGAAAAAATCATTTTATCATTTTTTCTAACATATGGAACATCACCAAATTATGGAACAACAATAATTATGGTTAATTACCATATGTATTATATTGGTGATAACCAACTATTTTATACGGGTAAGTACATTTAAATATACGGATTTTGAAATATATGAACTGGTATTGAAAATACTACAGGTACCTCCTGGGCCTCGCGGTCTGGCCCGCCCTCCACATATTTAAATGTCGTTGCCGTATACCCTCTGGTAAACTAACGTAACTATATGGAAAATCACCATTTTCAATGGGTAAATCAACTATAAATTGGTCATTTTCAATAGCTATGTTAAATTACCAGAGGGTAATTAACATAATATCATATGGAAAACACATGGATTTCCAGTAGCAACACCTTCGAGAAAATCGCCTTCAACCGGTAGGAAACGCCACTGGAAACTGGCTCCTCTTACCTCAGCGAAGCGATGGCTTTAGGATGAAAGTTACATCAAGTGACTGTGGATGTTGATGATGCTGATGTTAAGACAAACACAAGCTTTCAGACTCAGACATGTTTCAGTTTTTTGTTTTCAATATTGTTTTCATATATCTTTATAGGTGGGTCCATATGTGTCCAGCATTTTCAACCTCTGATTTTCTACTGACATCTACTGACATCTTCCCAAGTCATGTTCAGCAGCAACTCTTTGTGGTACCCTGACGAGGTGGGGCACAACTTGTCGGATCTGCATCACTCTGTCGCACCTGCCGCCACTGTCAACACCACGGAACTTGGGAAAGGAGGCGGAGCTACCTTGTTTCATGGAATATCATGGGAATAATGAAGCATGGGGATTGACTGGGATACGAATGGGATATACCCTCTGGTGAATTAACATAGCTATGGAAAATGGCTATGACCAATTTCTAGTTAATTTCCCGGGCAAAAATGAGTGACAGCATGCCGCCTGTCAGCCGCGCGTGCTGCCGAAAATTGCCCGACCCGGAGACAAAATGGCTGGAGCCCAGGACAATCATGGGTGTGCGTGAACATGGGCTTTACCACAATAATAATATAGTTTGTGTCCATCAAATAAGGGGGAAATGATGATCAACCGGCAGTTCCAGTTCATTCGTGTTTTTTTTGTATGTCCATAGGGTCCATAGGGTCCATAGATATAGAGGTTATGTCCCAAGCTATGGGGATTAGAATTCGTCAAAAAATCATAAAGAGATAACCTAAACCCCACCAAGTGGGTCCCGCCGCAACCCTGTCGCTGCTTTTTTGTTCTGCAGGGCCACCTGATCCAGGCGTTTTTCAAATGGTGGATGGGGAGACAAAACACACCATTTTGATTAAACATGGCGGTTTTACCCGATTTTACCCACACAAATTGGGGTTGACATGGTTTCACCATCACATATAGGGGTTTAATTGGTTTCATTTAAGGGCAATATAAATTATGTAAATAGTTTTAAAATGTTTTAAACACCCTGACGCTGCTTGGTTAAACATTGTTAAACTTGGATGGTGTTTTTTCGCCATCGGGTTTAAACCCACCTAAAGGTCCCTATTCCAGGGGTTGTTCCGGGAAATTTTGAGCATCCACCTTAAAGCATCTTTGGGATCGCGACGGCTAAGATGAGGACCACCATAGCCACACCTGGAGAGCGTTTTTTTTTTTTCCGCCCCCAATTCTGGGATTTTTCATGATGCTTGACACGTCAGTAAACAGACATAATCTGATTCTATCTGGGCTTTATCAGGTTTTATCATGTCTTTATCGTCTTTTTTGGTGCCGCAATTCTTGGGACAACAAAGTAGGTGTAGATGATTGAAGTTCATCCAGGACTTGGAGGATCATCCCACAGCTTGTAACTGTTTCATGACCCTGGTTACTAAGTCCGTATTCAGTAGCTTTTCCCATTTATAACTGGGTAAACTAAACATACCCTCTGGTAAACTAACATAGCTATTGAAAATGACCATTTAGTTCGTGGATTTACCAATGAAACATGGTGATTTTCCATAGTTACGTTAGTTTACCAGAGGGTAACTCAACTATCTAACCACTTAAAAACGATGCATGGGATGATCCTCAAGTTACCATTAGATCATCCGGAATCCTAACCACTATTTACCATGATTGACCATTAAATAATCCATTAAACATTGTGAATCTTAGATACCTGTCAAAAAGTCTAATGTTTAGCTGTTTAGCTGGTTAGTACATTTGACCATTGACAGAAAAAAAATACAGTACCGTCGATCTACTGTAGTTCGTATTTAACCAGTCGGTTGACCCAGTTTGATGGCCTAACATTTCCAGTTAATAATGAATACCCTCTGGTAAACTAACATAGCTATTGAAAAGTGGATTTACCCAGCTACAAAATGGTGAAAAAAAGGGTGGATCTTTCCAGTTCGCAAACTGTTAGTCATTACCAGTCATTACCAGAGGGTAATCATTCACCTCAGATTTGTTCACCATGAAATCATCCATCCAATCCACGTACCATCCGAATTCCGACTTCGGCACACGTGGTCAGCGCCACCGGAACTCCGGAGCTGCCGGAGCGTCCGGAACTTCCAGAGGTGGATGCCTTGTGGCGGCAGGTTCGGAAAATTCATTGGGGTGAATGGGGAAATGGTCATATCCCGTCATGACATGAATATTGGAATATATTGGACATATATACAATGGACATTTATAGTATTTTATAATGGGATATATGATGTGTAATGATCTCAATTTACATGAATAAACCATGAATTATCATGATATATCCGAAGATTGTTGAGGCTATCATGGAAAAGCTGGGTTCTGGCGCCAGCTTTTGAATCAACTTTTGACGGCTTAGCCACCAAGCTGAATTGAAAGCAGCTCCACCCGCCAGAAACCACGGTTTAGTCAGGGAGGTTTGATATGAACGGGGAATGCGATTACCTAAGGGGAGACACATTGAGACCCGTTTCTTGCACACAATTTTCACAGCTACAACATGACAAAAAACGTTCATAAATCTGAATGCCTGAAGTTTGTTTCATAAATTCGTCGAACACGAATTCGCTCTGACTGCTCTGAACATTTGGAAAAAAAAACAGCCCAGTCCCGTAATGATTTGAATGAGATCTGATTTCAGATGATTTCAGCCTAAAAAAAACACGTCATCATTTTCCCGCCTTGGGAGCTTTCCCTTGAGCTCGGTCGCTTCCAGGCTCCGGTCCTCCAGTTTGAGCCGATAGGGATGGGTGATAGCTCTGGATTTATGGAGGATTTATGGAAGATTGTGGAGGATTATGGCTGATTATGGCTGATTTATGGCTGATTTGTGGATTTATGGTTGATTTATGGATATTCATCCCCTATGCGATGAATCATAGGGTTCATAGCAGGGTCTGGATCATCGTCCCCCAAAACGATGATCTCATGGTGCTTTCAACCCAGAAAAATGCGATTTCACGCAGCCGGCCAGGGCAAAAACGTGGGTTTTCACGTGGGGATCGAAGATCTCGGGAACAATAACATCAAAGAAGGATAAAGAAGGCAGGATTGACTCAAAAATGCTGATGTATCCATTTTTATCCATTTTTAAGATGCACATATGAAGAAAAAGACTGGCTTGAACCCTTGGGATATCTTGGGATTACATACCATCACACCCTTGAAGCGATTTGGACCGTTTAGACCGCCACCCACAGCGGCGGACCATAGGTGCCAACATGTGCTGTAAGGAGCTTGTGCTCATCGAGGAAGTCGGGCGCCTGCGCCAAGGATTTCAGTGGGAATGAGAGACCACTGATAGCAAATCAATTTCCATTTTTAATGGGTAAATATAGGTAAATCAACTATCAATGGCAATTTTCAATAGCTATTGTTCTCTATTCTGGACATATTGATTGAACGCAGTGTGCCAAATCTACTGAGCGTTCCCAGCTGAAAAGGTGGCTAGTACGCATGGCTTTGTCGGAAAACGAGCTACCCCAAAATTTGATTCTTAGGCATGGTGAAAAGACTCATCTTTCCCATTGAAACGCCACACATCGGGGGATGCATTCCTCATTTCAGGACCCAAAACATGACTCCGACCTGTTCCAGAGCTTCTTCCTGCACGCCTTGGATGGGGGTAGCAGCCGGGGTAGCAACATGGATGAGATCTGGGAAAACCAACCACCAACCTGAAGTCATGTTGGGTCATTTCGGGATGATTCCACCAATGGTTTACAGTAACCAAAATCTTCAGCCAGAATAGCATCAATCTCTTTGGGCCTTGAGGCCTATGAAGATTGTCCAATTACTCACAGCCCACAGCCAGCCCTGTGCTGTGCGAGATGCTGCTAGAGAAAAGGAATTCTCCGACATCTGGGCGATTCAAATAATTCCCAAAAACCCAGGTAGTACAACTCCCTACTATAACTAATGTAACTTATCCGCCAGGCTTCACCAGGATATTTTTTGAAGTTCAACTCATCTGGGTTCCAGACCCAGCAGCTGTCCCAAGCGCTCTTTGGCAGCTGCATGGGACTCATCCGGCATCAAATAATCACCAAGCCATAGCGGAAACCTGAGACATGAAGTGATCGGAGGAACCCCAACTTGGACTGGGAGCATCTTCGATACTTTTGGTCAGTGACCCAGTTTGACCCAGTGTTTGTTTCACTTCAAGATCTTCAAGTTGGATTGGCGACGAATCAACATGTCGTTTTTTTTTTTTTGAGGGGGTTATGTATGTTATGCCGGATCTGAGTAGTGTTCAAAACCCTTGTTGCTTGATTGTTATGGGGAATTATACTACGTATACCTAATATTTTTGTATAATAACATAAGATATATGAATATATATATATACATATTATAATATATATACATATTATATATACATATTATATATACATATTATATATATAATATATATATGATATAACAATTATTAAGATATATCAACCTATATTAAGCCAGCTTTGCAAAAAAAACAACGCCGCAGCACTTCCAGACGGTCGCTGAACTTCACCCGTTTCCGTCGCTGAGCATCCGAGCTGAAGGTCCTGGCCGACAGGATCTTTTCGTCAAAGATATAGAGCCCCATAGAGCCCCCAAAAGAGACATCAATTGATCAAACACAGAGAATTTTTAGCTACGGTTTATGGATATTTGTGGATATTTATGGTTTATAAGATAGCTAAGTTGAGATATATAACTATCTCTTGGATTCTTTTTGAGATACTCCAAAATTTGAAGAAGTGGCGATGGCACGGTGGCCACCCTGCATAGCCACAGCCACGGTTCTGGACGAAAGCACTAGGCTCATCGTAATCATCAAGGCATGTTAATCTGGCTTGCGATGAGCAAAGTGCCGACCAGACTTTCTAATAGAGCTGGAATGCGATACTCTATCTCTTGTCTGGAAGTGATCATTCTGTGCTTGATCTCTAGTGTTACTGTAAGTGGGATGGCCATCCAAATTTTACGCTGTAAGCTGCTTCAAAGCTCAAAATTTGGCCTAGAAAACCCTGGGACCAAGCTTCACGGTGACCATGGGTGACGCCAAATGAAATGTGCCATTCATCAGCTGCGAAGTTCAATATACAGTTGCGGCAGGACTGACCCTTGAATGATTTAATTATCGCTATTTTTCATTATTTTTCCACATTCCTACGAGTACTATTTCTTACTTGCTTACCCTCTGGTAAACTAACATAGCGAACTGGCAAATCACTATTGTAATGGGTAAATCAATGTAAATCATCTATATATGGTCCATTTTCCGTAGCAAACTGTTAGTTTAATGGAGGGATATGGAGGGTAATCTCTCTCATCGTTGCACATTTCTGACCCACGTGCTGCCCTGGCTGGCTGCCAGCCTCTGGGGAGAAGAGGCCCCGCCAAGGCAAGTTCAAGAAGCGACCTACACAGATCTCCAAAAAACCTACGCAAATAACATGTTAACTGGTTGGAGGTATACCTATCAACCTACCATGGTGGTTAATATACTATTAATAATGGTTAATGATGATGGTTAATGATGGTGAATAATCATCTGGTTGGTGGTATACCTACCCCTCTGAAAAATGATGGACTTCGTCAGTTGGGATGATGAAATTCCCAATATATTGACAAATAAAAATCATGTTCCAAACCACCAACCAGAACATGTTAAGATCTGTGAGTATTGAGATCTATACATCCAGATGCTGTATTAAGAGCTATATATCCAGATAATATCACTCTAGGATTTTTCGAACATCTATTCCTTAGTCTTGAGTTCCATTTCTGCATCAAGAGGAAAAAGTCCATCACCGCAGCCTGGCTTCTCACATTCCTCCAGCGCCAAACGCAAACGCTCAGCCGAAGAGGAGGCGATTTCCTGCATCGGGCGAAGATCCCACATATTCCCAGAGATAGGAAGGTTTACCCTTCGGTCATCAAGCCTGGCAATGGAAGATCGCCTGTAAATTTGAGGTGTTCATCTGTTTTCCACGGGAAAATCAACACTGAATTTTCCCAGCAACCTGTGGAGATTCAGTATCAATGCTCCCATTTTGACCGGTGAAATCAATGCCCAGTTCCCATGGGGACCTCCATGAGCTGAGCGACTGCCCGGCGGAGCTCTATCTGGCATGGGGAGTGATTGTCTTATTCATCTTAGTATATGAAGGGCACGCTAATTTTCAAAACTGCTTGATATATATGTATATATATATATATAATTTTGGGTGGATATTTAGTGTAGTTAATTGTCATCACATGAAAATTATGGTTCGAACTGATATCCAATTGGCGTAACTATCATAATGTGGGCGAACCAGTAAAACTGCCATCACTTCTGGTGGGTTGGGTGACCAATAAAGATATTGCCAAAGTAACCATTTTCAAAATAGCCAACTTGCGGACATTCTATGAACACTTTATGGGACAATCACGATCCACCATGAGAATTTTGGGTATCCGATTTCATATTCCATTTTCAAACAAACCCATGGTCATGTTATTAATACTCGCTTGGAAAATCATGAACCATCACCAAAAACAGCAAGATAGAGCAACCCATGGTTGAATCTTCACGCAGCCAGGAAGAACCATGGTGGTACACCTCATCTTCCACCATTTGGGGGGGTTGACCATACCAAACAAGAAAGAGGTTCTGGGGTCATGGCCCTACAAAAAAATTGACCCATCAATAAATAGCTCAAACTTGACGGCGGCTCGTTTCGTCGAAGTAGCAAAGCACTGGAAGTCAGCACACATCTCTGCCTGGCTTTCTGGCACTTGCAACCCGCAGTAAAGATATCATGTACACCTCTTAAAACGAGTTTTCCATCATTTTTCCAGACGCCAGTGTCGTGTTGCAGTTCCATGGTTTCACAATGTTTCACAGCAACCTGAGGTTGACCATTTCAGGATGGAAAATGAGGGACAGAACAACCACCAGTTGACCCCTGGATGACCCCTTTGACAAGGTCACTGGATATCATCGCCTCACAGGACCATCGCCAGCACGAAGCACTGATCCGGGACCTCACCGGGACGACTGTGAAGCATCTGATCGTATCCTCCAGATCCTGCTGGATGTTGCCTTTTTTTCTTTGCAGATATCATATATATAAAGGGGGACTAATAGGAGTGTGAAACTATTCATGGGATAGTCGTTTTTTATGAGTTTATACCATTTTATACTGAGATGAAACTCCCATGAGATAGTTTGATTGCCAGAGTTGACCAGTCATCTGGATATATATTTTTACCATTCCACCGCAGTGAGTGAAAGTGTGTGGTGATGCTGGGTCTCTTGAATTGAAATGCCTCCAACACATATCATGAATGAGGACATCTGGATAAAGATTCAGTGTCTGCATTATTCCCAATACCAAACATTGAATCTTCATCTGGATACTTATTGAATCTGGATAAATAGTAATAAACTCTGGATGTTTATCATCTGAATAATGAATATCTGGATAAATATGGATAAATATTATTGACCAGCCATCTGGATAAGCAATAGTTAAACACACTCATTCAATATTATATGATTCTTCTACTCCAATTCCCATCAATCCATCGTGATGATAGCACTGAGCTTCCAGCGCAGGAAGGAAACCTTCAGTTGGTGGCACTCCTGGCTGAGCCCCTGGATGAAGAAACAAGGTGGAATGATGAAGTCACATTTATGTATAGTTAATTATATAATTATATTGTAATCTCCAACAGATAGAATACGTTCACTATTATCACTATTCTAGATTTGGATTTTGCCAACTTCTATCTTGACTTGGGGATCGCTATAACTTAACCCATCATCACACTTTTTTTTGGCGATTCCAAACATCGACCATGGCGCCTGATGTTGGGCCTATGGGGATGATTCCCCAACAATTCCCATCATTTCCCTCGGGAGAACAGGCTTCGGTCGTGATGAAATTTACCCATCATATGTATATATACATCTATATACATCTATATATATATATATATATGTCATGATTTTCCCTAGCAAAATTCTCAATGATTATCCTACACTATCATGGATGTTCATTGATTGTTACTGTGAAAGAGATGAACCAAAAGGGGAACTCACCGATCCTTTGGCGTCACCGTCTCCACGAGCAAGGACTCACTCGCCAGTTCTACGACCTGCCGGGAACACCCGGTGGCTGAAAAAGGGGAATTCCCAGTTGATAAAAATGGATGCGCGTCATAATCGAAGGAAGTTTAGAAGTGAAACTTCCGACAATATGGACAGTTGAAAAGCAGAGGTGAGAAGAGTCAGAAGAGACAAGATCAGAAGAGAGAAGAGGTAGATGCGCGAAAAGATAGGAAAGTCGCAATTCACTGTGTTTTTCCAATGATTTGTGGCTCCGGAGGGTCGAAAAGTAGGCTCGCTAAAGCGGCGGGTGCGGAGCCAGCTGGCCAGATGAGACATGAAAAAGTGCACGCCGTTGTGGCGCGAAGCACATTTCCAAGTCAAAATGGACAAAGCACTAGAGGAGCGGACCACTTTTGGAAGTTGAGATGTCGAAAAAGTGCACGCCGTTGTGGCGCGAAGCACATTTTGAAGTCAAAATGTGCAAAACACACCATTCTCGGACCACTTTTGGAAGTTGAGATGTTGAGAAAGTGCACGCCGTTGTGGCGCGAAGCGCATTTCCAAGTCAAAATGTTAAAAACACTAGGGGTTCGGACCACTCTTGGAAGTTGAGATGTCGAAAAAGTACACGCCGTTGTGGCGCGAAGCGCATTTCCAAGTCAAAAGTGTTAAAAACTGACGGTCTCGGACCACTTTTGGAGGTTCAGATGTCGAAAAAGTGTCAAAAAAGTGCACGCCGTTGTGGCGCGAAGCACATTTCGAAGTCAAAAGTGTAAAAAAACTGAGGGTTTTGAGCCTTTTTTGACGTGAAGATGTCGAAAAAGTAGACACTGATTAACTTAACTAACTTGACTAACTTAACTAACTTCACTAACTTAACTACACTAACCTCGACGACAACAGCAACAGCAACAGCAACAGCAACAACAACAACAACACCAACACCAACAACAACAACAACTACAACAACTACACAACAACTACAACTACAACTAGAACTACAACTACAACAGCTACAACAACAACAGCAACAACAACAACAACAGCAACAACAACAACAACAACAGCAACAACAACAACAACAACAACAACTACAACAACTACAACAACTACAACTACAACAACAACTACAACAGCAACTACAACTACACAACAACTACTACAGCTACAGCTACAACAACAACAACAACTACTACTACTACTACAACTACAACTACAACAACAGCAACAACAACTACAACTACAACTACAACAACTACAACAACAACAACAACTACTACTACAACTACAACTACAACAACTACACTACACAACAACTACAACCACACAACAACTACAACTACAACAACTACAACTAAAACTACAAAACAACTACAGCTACAACCATATGACTGCAACTACACTACACTAATTACATTACACCACAACTACAACTCCACTACGCTACAACTACAACTACACTTGCAGTACATCACACTACATCCAGCAGTTGTGGGTGAGGTGACCACTGCAACCATTACAACCATTCCAGCAAACACAACTCCAACCACCTTTCGGTCAATCAGTGGCTTCGCTCTGCCATCCCTGATTCACAACAACCAACTTCTCCTATAGGTTTCCTATTTTTGAAACTTCCGCCACCGCCTTGTGCGGTACTACTGGTATATCATAATATATCTATTATCATAATATATCTATTATCATAATATCTGTTATCTAACCCCCAATATATCATAATATATCTATTATCCCTTACAGTAGCGATAATCATCCAGTGCCTTTCTGAAATAGGAACATTGCAGGTTTTACCTCAAGATTATGGACACTCCGATCTAGCCAGCTCCGTCTGAGGGTGGCCATGAAAACAGATTCTCTAAACTGTCGAAGTTGTAAAGAGACACCACACAATCAACATATAGTGTTTAGGTACGTTTAGTTTATTTTAGGGTTGTATCATAGCATTTTCTAAGTGGTCTCAAACGACTCAGGTAAGTATAATACCAGCAATATCTTTTCGCGGGATCGAACAACTGTGCTCTTGAAAACAAGGTCATAAAGCAAAATTTGGAGAATCACTTCAGGAACCTAGCAGAGGCAACAGCATTAGATTCGCTACATGGATTGCTCTGAAAATATGATACCCAATGTAATCCACTGCTTCATGATCATTTTTCCGGAGTTGTCCTTTTAAAATGGCCATAACTTAGAATAAATTAGAGCTAAATAAACATATAATCATGTATATATATATATATATAGACATGTATGTCATATATATATATATATTATATATATAGATGGGGGTTTCTTTGAATGGGGGATCCCCAAGTCACCATGGGTTTGAATACTAAGTCATTGTCCAATAACTTGGACGATGTAGGGTACCCCCATGACTCAGCGCCTGGGGCACTCCAGTGTCGCTGGCCATAGTTACCACACCTCAGCAAAATGACCCCAATGAAGAGGAACCGCCAGTCGGATTAAAGCAATGGGGTAATACGGTTGTTTCACGTAGAGCGCAGTCTTGGATTTCATTGCTCATGGAAGAACGGGCTATACGGTATACTCCAAAAAATTGCAATTTTCGTAGGGAACTGATGATTAACAGATTAACAAAGAAACTGTGAGCACTTGGGTTAGCAATAAAAATTGTATGAATTTCTGGGAAAACCACCCACATCCCATGGTCCTTTACATTTTTATCCCATGGTAATCAACCATGGCAATGGGACAATTCGCCATTGACTTCGATCAATTTCTCATCGACCAGGCCGCGGACAAGATTTCAAGGACTCAGCCACCACCCTGACGGGTTTACCCTCTGGGAACCTGGGACATCTATAAATGGGCCATGTTAAATCGATTGAGAAATTTTAAAATGCTAAGATCACTTAAGATCACTTATCATTGGAATATTTTCCAGCTAGCCATGTTTGACGATGGTATTGTAAACTTTGCACCAGCAATGAAACGACATCATCGACATCACATATTTGAGGATACTACCTGTGCCAGAGTCGGGCGCGGATTTTGATCGCTGTCTTCCACTGCACTCACGGGGACTGTGTACTACATTTCTGTCGTGATCAGAACTCCTGAAGTCGGGGACAGCTGTGAACTATTGTGAAATGGCAGTGTGTCAAAACCAATAGTACCCCTGTAGTTCACATCAAAATAGCTGGGATTTATGGATGTTCATCCCATTAATAGCTGGGTATTTTCATAGGTATTGATCCATACCCAAATCTCATTGCTCGAATTCTCATCATTCCCTGGTTGATTGGTGAGAACAAGAAGCGGAGCTTGCCACGGCACAAATTGAAGTCCTCGTGCTAATGGCGCCAGTGTTTCTGCCATGGTCGAATTAGGTGTCAAGATACCCATGCAGCAGCCCCCAACACGTTTGAACAGTTGGCCATTGGTCAATTCCCGCCTTTCGATGGCGAATGGGGACAGATTGCTGAACACATCAACGGTTTCAAATAAAATAGCAAAGCTTTAACACACCACTTAAAGCGCACAAAAAACAGTGAAACCCTGATTCCAGGAACACCTTTGGTTTCAACATGTTTCAACTTTCAACAATCAAGGAATCTTGATTTGAACCATCTTCAAGGAAAGACAAACTCGATCAGCTGTGGCCAAAGGCCTATACCAACACATTTTATCAGCATGCAATTGAAACTCGCACTTGTAGTTTCAACTCAAAACCAAACAGAGTCCCAATAAAGACACATCCGAAAAAATGATGCCATGGCAACATCACGAATGTCAAACAACAATGGGGGTCTCGGGTCTCGACTATATCGACACTAGTCATTCTAATGATTTATGAATTGTATATACCATCTGGTTATTTAACAAAGACATAGCCATGGAGAATCACCAGTTTTAATAGGTAAACCATCTATAAATGGGCCATTTTCCATGGCTATGTTGAATAACCAGAGGGTAAAACATTACGATAACTTCTGTTCTTACACACTAAACGATTACGGACATTCTTGATGCTTTCCATGTCGCCGATGTCAAGGTGCAGGCTGCTGCTGCCACGTATTACTTCGCAATGTTTTCGGGCCTTGACAAAAAAACCTCTGGTCAACTAACAGTTTGCGAACTGGAAAATTGCCGTTTTAGATTATTCAGTTCAATGATTTATTCATTTAAAAACATTCAACATACTTAAAGGTGATTTTCCCGTGGAGCTTCCAAAGTTCTGTTAGTTGACTTGACACTAAAGCTATGCCTTAAAGGTCACCCGTGACCGAAATCGACCGATTTTTTGGAGACAACAGACCTTGGGAGGAGCGACGAACTGCAGCGATTGCAGGGTACCATCTGGTTATGACTAACAGTTCGCCATGGAAAGATCCACCATTTTTAAGAAAGGTAAACCATCTATTTCTATGGACCATCTATACCATGGCTATGTTAAATAACCAGAGGGTAATTTACCCAGATTCAATGTGCTAGTGTTCCCTTGCACATGTGTTACATCTGTTACATGTGCTAGATGTGTTGCATGTGTTACATGTTTCTGACCCATTGGTCATGCTTCCTTTCCAACCCTTGAATTTTACGATGGCATGTTTCATGTATCAAAATGAATCTCAATAAAATATTGAGAATCTATGAACATCTATTGATTCTATTGTCATTGGCCATGTTTCATACTAACCATACTATCTCACATCAACAATGGCTCCACTCCGCTGAAGGACTGTGTGTTTTTCTATTTAGAATGACCATATTGGCCATATTAGCATATGTTGACCATGAGTTCCTCAAAAATTCTCTTTATATGACCGGAAAAGATCCTGCTTAGCTTAGCCTCGCGAAATCCACATGGATTTCCTGGGTCCACGAAACTCGTGCCGAGCATCTTACATTGTCATCAAGGGTCCACGTCATCTGCCGTTGGCCTGGTTGTCAATGCAATCCCTTTCCTGTATCTCTGGGGTTGCTGTGCGTGTTTCACCGAAAGACCTAAAGTTAGAAGTTCGAAGTGGTACTTACCATGGCCGCAACATGTTGAACATGTTGCAACATGCCGCAACCGAACTTTGCAATTCGATGATGCCCATTTGCCAACCATCGTGGACACTCACACCAGTGGATGTCTTAATTGACAGGCCCACCATCTTCGAAGCTTCGAAACACAGTTGTTGGTTCCGTGGACTTCTCACTGGTTAGAAACTTTAGAATCGTTCGATGGAAAGCCTTTCCCTTGCGAGTCTTGAATCGTTCCAAGCGTCGGGGCAAGGCTTTCCACCGGGGAACACCTTGGCACTCGTCCGATGATAGCTGAGCTGCACATCCCATCATGGCCAACCTTTGATACCCTGCCAGAATAAATAAATAGATAGATAGATAGATAGATAGATAAATCGATATTTTTAGCTGACTAGGTTAACATTCATGTCAAACTACCCCTAATATGTATATATATATATATTATATGTATTATATAATATTCATTGATTTAACGAAGATTGGAGAATCAAAGTGCACGGTGAATTGCGACCGGTCTGGGATGTCCCAGTCAGATCAGTCAGGTCTCTCCCCTTAAGTTGGTTTATAAAGACCATTAACTCTATCTAATTGGTGGTTGAGGTATACCTACCCCCCTGAAAAATGATGGAGTTCGTCAGATTGGATCATCATCTCAACTATTGGGGAAAATAAAATTCATGTTCCAAACCACCAACCAGCTATAGATACTCTACAATTATACATAATTATACCATGCATATCCATCAAATCAACATCCATGATAGAATTCAGCGAACTGTTCACCAACTTAGCTATCGGAAATGGAGGCACGGCAAGCAGAATGGACTATGGAGGTCTTGGATTTCGGGGAGCTGTGAGATGTCTGGAGTCTCCTGGAAACCACTTGTTGGAGCCTCCGTGCCATTGGCTCGCCTGAAGTAAAATACATATCAAATTGATGCTGACGAACTATTTAAGAAGGCAAACAGATAACCCCATGGTAAGCTTCAAAATCATTCAACGTTCTATTTGGTTCACGATTTATGGGACCATATATGCAATCATTCACTTGCATTTGCTTGAGGCCGCTGAAAAAAAACAATAAAAAACCTAGGCTTCAAATAAATGGAGAAACAAAGCCATTGCAATGTCCCAGCCACGGCTGGTCCGTTGCCTCAGCGTCAACCGCCTGGCTACGTTCAGGCTGACGACTCTGTAGGATGACCCTTCGTTCACTGGGTCTGCGCTTTTCGTTTTGCTGCTGAAAAGAAGATTGGACACAGAAAACAAGGCTGAGAAGGTTGATAACAATGGATAACACAAGTCTCATTGAGCAGTCTGCGAAGGGTTGAGAAAACAATCTTGTTTTCGGACATACTCAGCCGTTATCAACATGGTGGGTTTCACACTTTTTTATTCAATGGATTGGTTTGAAGGAAATTTGCAGGAAACCACCATATTTCATAGGCAAAAACCATGGTTTCTGGTTAAGAATGTTCCCTCAAATTCAGACCATTTCCCGATGTTTCAGACCATTCAAAGAAACCCATCCAGGATGACGCTTCCGCCTTCAAGGGCTGCACGCTGGGCGAAACTGGTGACTTTGGTGAGCTTGGGGAGGTCCTTCCCTCGGCCCTGGCACTGGTGATCCATGGAATGATCTTCATCAATTGTGGGTGATCATATGGTTAACTTTAAACAACTATGGAATGATTAAACATATTCATCATATGTGGTTAAACATGAATTGTGATTAAGAATGTTTTTTTTCTGTGTTTAATAGTGGCGTTCATAATGCGTTCACTATATATGGTTAAACAGTGAAAAACCATGGTTAACATGGGTATAACCATAGGTTTGCTCAGTCACGGAGGTACCCCCAGTCATCCTCCAAGTCATGGATGCCTCAATTATGGGTAGCCAGGAATTGTCCAAGATTTCAGACATGCTGCTGCATGTTTTCTTCTAATTGAGCCATTCAAAATATCCGCACTCCCATCTCACTATACGATTTACATCTACCCTTTGGTAAACTCACATAACTATGGAAAATCACAATTTTTCATGGGTAAATCAACGAACTAAATGGCCATTTTCCAGTTCGCAAACTGTTAGTTTACCAGGCCGGGTATTTATTAGTCGGTTGATGGATATCCCCTATGGGCTATCATAATCCCCATGGCTCACCAGGTTTTTTTTTCATCACTTGAATCATGGACAGTGCTTCACCCTGCTGTTCCCTCCAGTGGATTCAGTAGGATAATAAGTAGGCTTGGTCCCAATAAAAAACTGGGCTAAACAAAAACGCACTAAAATCCTCTCCCCAACACAAATCTTCAACATCCAAATGATGAAATGATCCCAAAATATGTCGATTTCATCCCTTAAATTCCCTAGATTTCCCACTACTTTTTATGCTTCCAAGCGCGACGGAGGAACTGCAGAATCTTCACCTCGTCCTGCACAAACAAAAAAACATCCGTCCTGTGTACTGGATGATTTCTATGCTATGAGAATCGATCGATAATTATATGATATACTGTACACATCTGTACACATATACATATATGATCATATATGATCATATATGATCATATATGTATACATATGTGATATATCTATATTATCATATATTATTTACACATACAACAAATGCACGTAAGACATCATATTCTCATCATGTCTCTCCCACAGCGTCCTGGATGTCGTCCCTGAGATAGGTCCAAAGCATGTAGCTCGTCCCTGCCATCAGCGCAATGGCGGCTGGGACCTGCCGAGGCATTGAGGGTAAGCGATGGTTTACAACGGTGAGTGGTAACGGTTAAGAGTGGTTCATGAGGGTTCATGATGATTAATATACTGTTAATGGTTAATAGTAATGGTTATTATATGGTTAATTATTGATGGTTAATTATGATATTCTCTGGTTGGTGGTATACCTACCCCTCTGAACAATATGACTTCGTCAGTTGGGATGATGAAATTCCCATATATTATGGAAAAATAAAACATGTTCCAAACCACCAACCAGCAATGGTTCATTGTGGTGAAAAAAGTTAGTAGTTCGTAATCCCTAACGATCATACTGAACGCGGTCTAAATGATCTGAACCATCTGTAAATCCACTACTAAACTATGGTTTTTGGGGCTGTGTTTAATATGAACGGGGAAGGGATTCTTCTGAATTTCCTCATCATCTCATCCCAAAAGGAGGGCTGAAAACTTTGCTTTCTAGGGACTGCCAATTTAGGACGTTTTTCAGTTACAGTACCAAAGCCGCTCATTCGTCCAGAACAATTTGCATCAAACAAATCCTGGGGAGTCACAAGAAGTGACTTCCTTTAAGTGCCATGTCCAGTTTCGTGAGATCTATCGGGTCATCCAGTCATCCCATATTGGGAATCCGTGTGCCACATGGATTGATCGCCGAATCACCACGATATGAGGCTTTTCATGGCTCCAATCTTTCGACGGCATGACAATAAATTTTTGGTATTTATATGTGGTATACCATATTTATATCTGGTTGGTGGTTTTTCGCCCTAACCCTCTGAAAGACGATGGAGTTCGTCAGATTGGATCATCATCCCAACTATGAAAATAAAATTCATGTTCTAGACCACCAACCAGCTATAGATACTCTACAATATATATTGTTATACCCTCTGGTAATTTAACATAGCTATTGAAAATCACCATTTTTAATGGGAAAATCCACTATTAATGGCCATTTTCAATAGCTACGTTAAATTACCAGAGGGTATACATCTTCACAGACCTGCCATACCTTCGATGACAGCCCGGCAGGCCATTGAGGTCGAAGATCCGATGGGATCTCATGGGATCTGAGGATTCAAGTGCTGATGTTCAACATCTTACTAAGTCTTACTTACTTACTTATATGTATATATATATATATATGTATATATATATGTATATATATATATATGTATATAAATGAAGGTTTTCTAAAATGGAGGTACCCCTAAATCATCCTTTTTTAATAGGATTTTCCATTACAAAACCGCCCCCCCCCCGTTTTTTGGGGATCCCGCACCAGCAGGCTAAGCTCATGGAGCGCTCGTGCTAGACCGCTGCCAGCAGCAACTCCTGTGGCTGGGGCAAGCCTTCCTTCGTCCCGATGCAGGATGGGCTGGTATTTATTAGGAAAAAAGGGAGTAAACCCACTGGTATTATTTTTTACCAATGGTATTATTAATACACTATTAAGGGAGTAATCCCATCCCCCACTTAATAACACTATAATAGTATTTTCCATAACTATTGACTACTTATGAATCATGAAGGGGACGGGATAATCCACACTATTTTTCATAGCATCGAACACAATTGACTCATAACTAAGCTTACTTCTGACAATTTTGGCCATGCTTAGCGAAACATGATGAATTCATCGTAAATCATCCCATTGATTTTGAGCCTCATAGCGAACATGATGTGGATGACTGGATGACCCTTAAGCAGAAACCTCAGACCTCCATCTTCAAGCCACATATCGACGCATCGTTTAAAATGAAAGAACACTAATAATATATACAATAATGAAGACAAATAGTAAACACCATCTGAATAACATTCAATAACTATTTTCAAAACTAAAGTTTTTTTTTTTAAAGCCCTCAGTTGAGTGCGCTGTTATTGAAACAGCAACTCAGTTTTTAAGAAAAACATCTTGGCACTTGGCAATGTTTTTAGCCCATCAAAACCAAAGCAACCTGGCCATTCCGCAGCTCCTAGCAGGAAACTCAGGAGAAGCAGCAGGAGCAGAATCAGCTTCCTCTGCTGTGGGGCGTGGTTGGGATGTCCCGACATTAATAAAGTTTCATCCCAACAATAATGCTGAAATAGTGTCCAAACATGTCCAAACCTCTGATTTGACCTTCCACAAAGAGGAGCTAAGATTCGAGCTAAGCCTTCCATTCCTCCCCAAACCCACCCACCAATTTCCAACAATTTTCACCATGCCATGGCTGCCATGTGTCCGGTCCCCTCCGGTCCTGGTCTCTCCTGGCTCTTCATCTGCAAATGGAATCTTGTGACAACATTTTCGTTTGAAGCAGGACACCAAGTGCCTGGCAGATCCACCATGTCAAAACCGTCAAAACTCTTTCTGAGCGGAAACGATATAAAAACGCCAGCCAGCTACCCCCGAACGTTTGCAAAACAGTCCATAGAAAGGCTGGCAATTGACCAAAGGTTTAATATGGTTTAATTATATATAGTTTTTTTTTTTGAATTTTCTTCGATCTTATTACCATTAAAAAGAACACACCTTTCCGACGACCCATCCCTCGCCACGTCCGGCCTCCCAGTAATGAGTCCCACATCGGTCACGATGCCCGTCATGTGTGTGGTCCGGATGACCGAACCCGTGTAGGAGGACATGATGCCATTCTGCAAGCCACAGGCCTCACAGTCATCCAATAGACCGAATTTGAAGATATCTGCAGGATGGGGCCCCCAAGATAGCTAAGTTGAGATATAATTGGCTCAACTATGGTTTATGGTAGATAAAACTATATATAATATCATTATAATATCATTATAATCACCATTATCATCGCCATTATTGAGACATAAGTGGCTGAATTCTATGGTTTATGGTAGATATAACTATGGTTAATGGGGGTTATTGACCAACTTATAACTGGGGGTACCATCCTGTGGGGATCGCGAACTAATGGATCGAGACATGGTCATTGAACACGAACTGCGAACTGATGGCCCACTGAAATAGATGATAAACATGAATATTTATGATGATTTACCATGATTTACCTGTTAAAAACATGTTGTTGTTGTTCCATAGCTACGTTAAATTACTGACTGTCAACGAGATGGACCAAAGAATTTCTCAACTACTGGGCTCTTTCAGCAAATGGGATTTGTATCCAACCCCAGAAGTGATTGAAAGTGGTTGTCGTAGAACACCCAACAATACAAGTACTACCAATGTAGCTTGGGGCCCTTACATATCTTACATCAACTCCCATCTGTCACGCAATTTCTGCCATGACCAGCGCGTCCAAGCAACGTCACCCTCTGGTAATTTAACGTAGCTATGAAAAAACATCATTTTTAATAGGTTTTTGACCATGGTAAACCATCGTAAATCATCTATCAATGGGCCATACCATAGCAAAACTGTGAAAAAAAAAGAGATGGTCAGGGGGGGCTTATCATATCATCAACTGAGCTCCCAGCCACACAGAGGATGTAGACGGCTGCGTCTTCAGATGCCTTGAAGACCAGTAGAGAGCTGATTAGAAGCAAAGCTGAAGCCGTCATCGCCACCCCATAGCCCATGTAGGCCATCTTCACCTGAGGTTTGAAAAGTTGGACGAGAGCTTGATGGTGAAAGTCATTTTTGGGATTTCTGATGGATTATGATCATTTCCAGTAGCGTTGTATCTATGTATGCTATTAAGAAAAGGTAATGCAATGTAATATAGTATAGTATAATTCAAAATGCAATAAACTACACTCTAATACAACAATACACATATATCAAATGCATTCATATGCTATAATACAACACAATATACTATTCTATCATACAATATCATATAACATTATATATACATACATAACATAACATAACATAACATTACATTACATTACATTAATACATACATACATACATACATTACATTACATTGCATTGCATTGCATTGCATTGCATTACATTACATTACATACATACATACACTAATTGGTGGTTTCAACCCCTCTGAAAAAGATTAGTCAGATTGGATCATCATCCCAACTATTGGGGAAAAAAACATGTTCCAAACCACCAACAAGTGTATATATATAATTATATATATATAATATTCTATTACATGATATCAATCTAAACATATCTAAGCAACCAGGCCCTTGGCGCGAACCTTCGCCGAGCCCGGCCGCTGAGCAGCCCGGCGGCGGTCCGCTTGATGATACAACCGGAGATCTTGGGAGCGTGGAGGGCCGACACATGGGGATGCAAACTTCTTGGGACAAATATGCCATCTATCCATATCTTGTTTTCAAAAAACATTTGGAGGTTTCCTGAAATAGGGGTAGCCCTAAATCATCCATCTTGATAGGATTTTCCCTTATAAACCATCCATTTTGGAGTACCCCCATTTATGAAAACCCCCATATGTAATTACATTGGGAATGACCCTGCTAGGCTGGGTCAAAATCATCAATTGCAACAAAACGAACAGGGTAGACACCCCCTCAAAGAAGTTCATACAAGTTCTATGTTGGTGGAATATGCCAACAAAACTCTTACTACAAAAACCGCAAAACATGAAACTTCATGATCAAAGATGAATCCATTCTCAAACCATTCGGCTGAGTGCATGGATTTCGCCTGAGGGACCTGCCATGCTGCCCAAGAGGAAGAAACTCACCAGCCTCAGCAGTATATAAGTCGGTGTCACGAAAACATCCTTCTTTCAATGGATTGGTTTAAGGGGCAAATGACAGGAAACCATGGTTTTTACCATCAAATACAGGGGTTTCCTCTAAAATTTCCCATCATCCAATTCTATGATTCTTGGCAGATGTCACCACTTTCTATTGACATGTTGTTGCACGGGTCGCGTTTTCAGCTGCAGTTCTGTCTTGAGCGTCTGACAGAACCATCTTGCCTGCATGGGCGTGCTCTCCCACTGTATGAAGCGACACCTGTCATTTCGATGGTCTCGATCTGAGTGGCTCAGGATGTGGCTGAAAAGAAAGGAGCGTCGCTGCCCATGATTCTAAAAAGAATCCGTTGCTGCCCATGTACAGGAAAAACACCTTTGAGGCAGCATTGAGATCTTCACTCAAAGACATTCAAAAACTATCTCCATTTGAAGAATGTATCAGAATATAAATAATACCCTCTGGTAATTTAACATAGCTATTGAAAATTGCCATTGATAGTGGATTTTCCCATCAACCATGGTGATTTTCCATAGTTTTCTGTATGTTTACTAGGCCAGGTAAAGGCAAATCCACCCCAAGAACCTGGCTTGACTTGCAGGGATCAGAATGGGGGACGTCCCCCAACGATAGCAACACCCAAACAACTCATGATAACTCATGGAGTCTGCAATGAACTAGGGGACATCGCGCAAAATCCCATGAACATCACTTTTTTGTTCCCCACCTGCCAGGTGAGGGTTGTTAGATTTTATGTCAGTTGCCTCCTCGTCCTCCTCCTCCTTCTCCTCCTCCTTCTCCTCCTCCTCCGCCTCCTCCTGCCTCCTCCTCCTCCTCGTCCTCCTCGTCCTCCTCGTCGTCCTCGTCGTCCTCGTCGTCCTTGCAACCGCGACCCGCGATCCACAGTGTTCTCTGCCGGACCTCAACCACGACCATCCACGCCCAGTGTTCCCTGCCGGACCTCAACCACGACCATCCACGCCCAATGTTCCCTGCCGGACCTAAAACCACGACATCCAGCCCAGTGTTCCTGCCGGACCTCAACCCCGCGCCCCAGGGATCCATGCCAAGTGGTCCCTGCCGGACCTCATGTAGGAAGATATGGGACAAAGAATGTGCAGAAAAAAGTTAAGAAAGAATGAAGAAGAAGATAGATGTCAGAAGATATGCCAGAAGATATGCCAGATAGAATGCCAGATAGTATGCCAGAAGATTTGCCAGATAGAATGCCAGAAGATTTGCCAGATAGAATGCCAGAAAATATGCCAGAAGATATGCCAGATAGATATGCCAGAAGATATGCCAGAAGATATGCCAGAAGATATGCCAGAAGATATGCCCGAAGATATGTCAGAATATATGCCAGAAGATATGTCAGATAGAATGCCAGAAGATATGTCAGAATATATGCCAGAAGATATGCCAGATAGAATGCCAGATAGAATGCTAGAAGATATGTCAGATAGAATGCCAGAAGATATGCCAGATAGAATGCCAAATAGAATGCCAGATAGAACCAGAAGATATGCCAGAAGATATGCCAGAACATATGCCAGAAGATATGCCAGATAGAATGCCAAATAGATTGTCAGAAGATATGTCAGATAGAATGCCAGAAGATTTGCCAGTAAGAAAATGTATAAATGTCATGGTGGGGATCACACGAAGTAAAGTAATTTTTTCCCTACGAAACATCAATCATCATAAATCCCTATGACAATGGCCGCAGCCTCTGGCAAACATCAAACAGGAGTGGAGTTTCCTCCAGCGGCGCAGCTGGATAACCTCGCCGTTCCCACCTTCGAAACGGCGCCAGTTACGTGGCTAACTAAAGTCTCAGAAGTCTCGAAGGCGATGGCGTTGACCATTCCAGCACAGGCCTGGACTAGGCTCATGGGACCCAATGAGGCTTGGGAAACATCAGGGGAATCGTTGTGGAAAACCTTGTAAGGTGTCAAACCGGGATAATATCGCAATGGGGCTACAGGATGGTGCCCCCCAGTTATAAGTTGGTTTATAACCCAGTTATAACCCCCCTTCACTATAGGTATAAGTATAATAAACCATAGTTCTTGGAGTTATGTGAACCCCAACTGAACGCTATCTAAAACGGGGGGGCCCATCTGCCTTCGGAACCCGCTGACTCGATCTGTCTTCGATGACTCCATGACCACCAAAAACAACTCGCTATTCATCATGGCCCCTCTTAGATACCCTGCAAAAGCAAAGGCTTTATGATTTTTAGATATCTTTAGCTGCTTTGGAAACATATCCCCATTTATATAGTAAAAGGATGTAAAAGGATTTGAAAGGTTAAGCTGTATTCAGTTGAATCCATGTCGGCTGACCCAGTTCAGTTCGCTTCTCATAGCTTCTCCAAGTCCCAAAATTCCCACGAGGCTCGCGCAGCCAGAACCACACCAGAAGATATCACCAAGGGCCTCATATATCGGAAATCTCGCGAAACATGGTGAACAAAACAGGGTGCCGTTCCTTCAAATCTCATTTCATGGGATTCATGGAAGAGTTTTTAGTTCAACACCCAGAATCCCTTCTCCAAACATTCAACACCCAGAATCCATTGTTTAAAATAGGGCATGAAAAAAAGACATATTTACATATTTGGGACCATATATGAATAGGGGTGTTTAAACCTTAGGAAGGGATGAAAACAGGATGCAACACCCTAGATTTCCGAGTGTTTTTTTGTGGCAACCAATCGAGTATCCCAGCGATAATCCCCTTCACATCATATACCATCTGGTAATTGAACATAACTATGGGAAATGGCCTATTGAGTTCGATGATTTACCTATTAAACCATCAAACATCTTTAGACATGGTGATTTTCTATAGCTATAGCCTATAGCTATGTGTAATCATCAGAGAGTAGCTCTTAGATTCTCGTCCTTGGCCCACTCGGCCCGGCCCACTTCTCCTGGGTCACACTGGGCTCCAAACATTAGAGGATCAACCTCCAACTTGTAGCCACCAGTTTCTCGGCACAGGTGATAGATGGTGATAGCCGTTGCAGGATGGTACGCTCCCAAGTAGTCACAGCCGTAAACGGGGTTTATTAATCCGGGGTTGACATTACTGATCAAATGAGTTCCAGCATGTTCTTGAGATATTCCATGAACCTCTTTTTTTTGTGCGGCCTTTGCAGTCCCCAACTTTCATCAAAAGCGAACGCAGTGGGACTTTGTCTGACAAATTCCAGGCCCTCCTATCCAAGGGTTGCGGTCTATAGGCATCTATAGGCTATAACATATCCAAATCCAGAATCCGACAGCTGACGGCTTCGAGGATTTCCCGGTCCCATGGCGCTCCGCTTGCGCCCGCTTCCCCCGGCGTCCGGCCACGTCACGTGTCTTGGCCACCAAGACCGAGATGGACTTTGTTAAGGAAGCTCTCCTGGGTTGACGCACGCGGGAGCTATAGTCATCTAGTATCGAAAACTATCGGAAATGGAAAAATAATGAGAAATCATCAAGTCTACGAAAATGCCAGAACAAATCTGGAGATATAGAACAATCATCAAGCCTTTACCAAAATGATCATAACATCAGGGCACATTTCTCATGGTCAAATAATGGCTCTCTGGCACTTGGCCCAGAACTTCAGATCATGGCCAAGCTCAGCACTAAAAACCATGCTTTCTCAAAAGTTCGCCATAGAACATGGCCCATTTATATGATAAACATTGTGATTTACCCTAATTTATATACCATTGAACAATGTTGATTTTACATATATATATATATCGGCAAATGCCTGGGTTTTGCCCGGACCCGCAATGACGACGGGCGACGCATCATCATCATCATCATCATCATCATCATTGTTAAGAATACACCTGCACATGTACATGAGCTATACAGTTGCTGATACAACATGTTGGTCCACTCTGAGTACATGTCATGGTACGATACATTTGGGCTCCATACAGGGCCCTTGAGCGTTACCCTGAGTTAGTGAAAAGTACAGCGCGTGGGCTACAGCTGCTGAGAGTACAGGAAGGGAAGTTGTACACTTGATTTCAACATGGTAGCGGAGCAGTGATCCCTGGACGATACAGGACAGGGTGAGCTCCAATACACATCGGCAACAAAGCTACAGCATTAAGGTGAGAACACACAACGACAAACATGGCAGCAGCTACAACTGGAGGAGACCTCAATGCGATGCACAGATACAAACTACCACCACCACACTTTACAGGAGAGTATGCAACATTCGAAGAATGGAAACACAAGTTTGTGGCCTACTTGGGGCTACAGAATTCACAATTCCCCAGGCTCCTACAGATAGCAGAAACATTTGATCAACCAGTTACAGATGAGCTTCTAGCAGACGGTGCAAGAAACAGAGAAGAAGCAGACCTTTGGATACAACTCAGCAAAGACCTACACTACCTACTCATCAACGTCTGCCAAGGACAAGCAGCTGTCCTCTGCAGACAACATACACTACAAGCAGTTGGTCTCGAGACATGGAGACAACTACACAGACGCTTTTCAATTCCACTCGGTACACGCAGTGTCGGGTACCTTACAAAGCTTTTGAAACCACAGTTCAACGAAAACAAATTTGAGGAGTCTTTTACAACATGGGAATTTGAAATAGCAAGATACGAAAGAGACAACCAAGCACCAATACCTGACAACATCAAAATTGCAATACTACTCAATGAGACCAAAGGACCACTACAACAATACCTACAACTGCGAGCAGGAGCCATACAACGATATGCAGACATTCGAGAACTCATTCTCGAATACCACAGAGCATCAACAGCGTTCTCCAAGATGCAAGCACAACAACAGGCAATGAACAGCAGCACAAATGATGCACAGCCCATGGACATTGGAGCTACGTACAAAGGAAAAGGAAAGTACAACAACAAGGGTAAAGGAAAGTACAACAAAGGAAAAGGAAAGACACAATGGCACAACAAAGGAAAAGGATACACAGGATACAGCCAACAAGGATACAAAGGCAAAGGTCCAACACCGATTGGACATGGCAACCCCTTCAAGGGAGCAATGCTGTACAAAGGAAAGAGCAAAGGAAAAGGACCACCACAATGGCAAAGTACAACAATGAACAAAGGCAAAGGAAAAGGAACATGTTACAAATGTGGTCAACAGGGCCACTATGCAAGGGACTGCAGAGTGGCAGTCTACAACGTCACAGACATGGATGAAGGCACAGACCAGTACAACCAACAACAGTCATACTACCAACAACCATGGACAGAACAAGAACAGTGGCACTACGAGGAACAATGGTTCCCAGATCACCAACAGTGGCAATATGACCAGCAACAGCAAGCGGCATACAACCAGGAACAGCAGCCACCACAGATGCCTACAGCACCAGCGCAGGTAGTTTCCACAGTAGAGTTTGGAACAACTACAATTGCCTCAGTCACAACCACAGGCCTCAACACCTACAAGACTGTCGAGCTCATGATCGACAGTGGCGCAGCAGTACATGTCTGTCCACCAACCTTTGGTACAGACTTTCCACTGATGCCTCTTACAGAGGAACAAACACCACCACTTCGCTCAGTTACAGATGAGCCTCTTTGGGTTCTTGGCTACAGATGGGTGCGCTTCAAGAACATACAAGGACAACACTTGGTGATGCCATTCTACGTCATAGATGGCATACGACACCCCATCGTCAGTGTTACAAGACTCCTGGAACAAGGTTTCGAACTCAACCTCAGAGGTACAGAGTCTACACTACAGAAAGGAGATGTGTTTCAGGCACCACTTACAAGTAAAGACAGACTACTCTACGTCCACCTGGAAACAGCACCAATGGAAGAAGGAACAAAACTGGTGATACAAAACACTCCACAAGGACAAGTGGCAATGATTGCCCCAACACACACACTTACAGCAACAGGACCACGACCTCAGCAAGGAGGCAACAACGACTTCTGGAAGTACAACGAACAAGGATACCTGGTCAGGGTACACAAGAGAGGAAGAAAGGCATTGTTCACACCAGGATACGGCAACCAATCAGCATGTCCAGTACAATTTGACAGACTGGACGACTACAGGAAAACAATTGTCTACAAGGAAAACGGTACGCAGACAGTGCTTGAAGACAAGTTCAAGTCACTCACTAAACAGGAAGCAAACAGAGAGGTTACAGGTACACAATGGCAAGGAGAAACATGGTTCAGGATTCTTCCTGACAAGACAACAACAGGCCAACAGAAACAGGATATAAACAAGGAACAACAAGTTCAGAAACGAATGGATGAAGGAAAGGAAGTGAAGTACAGACACACGTACAAGCAGCAAGAGAAAGAAGACACACTACCAACACCAATGCAGATGGATGGTACAACAGACTACTGGATCAAAGAAGGAAGGTTTTGGAAGAGAGTACATGTGAGACCAAGGACAGAGTTCTATACACCGACGCCTGAAGACAATGGACCAGATGTCTACAAACTGCTCCCATACAGAGCAACACACATACGAGAGGAGCACAACATGAGAAGAATCGAAGACGATTGGACTACAGAACCACAACCAACAAGACAACAAGAATGGACAGGATCTACAACCTTTGAAGAAAGAAGAGAATACAGAGAAGAAATGCCAACAGAAGAAGAAGATGAACAACAGAGCGCAAACAAAGCGAAAGCAATGATGCAACCGGTACAACCTACACCGCAGGAGATACAACAGCACAACCTTACACACATGCCATACAGGAGTTGGTGTCCTGTGTGCATACAATCTCGCGGCAGACAGACAAGCCACCAACAGCAAACATCGAAACAGCCAGTCATACAAGTTGATTTCACCTACATCAAGACCTATGAAGACAAATGGCCGGTACCAATCCTGACAGCCATAGACATACAGACCGGCATGGCAATGGCAACAATGCTTACGGACAAGAAAGGACAGTTTGCCTATGCACAGGCATGTCTACAAGCATTCATTCTTGAATGTGGAAGAACAGAAGGCATACTACAAAGTGACCAAGAAGAATACCTGATGGTGCTCCTTAGAGCTACAGCTAAAGCAACAGGCAACATGACAGTGCGTTTTGCACCAGCATACAGCTCACAAAGCAGTGGCAGCATCGAAAGATTCCACCGTACACTTGCTGGCCACATCAGGACACTCAGGACACAGGTACAGCAGAACTACAACACAAGACTGCCGACAACACACCCAATCATGGCTTGGGCAGTACGACACTCAGCATACCTGATCAACAGATTCCTCATCAGAGCAGATGGCTACACCAGCTACCACAAAAGATGGGGACGAACACACAATGCAGCTCTCTGTGAATTTGGAGAGACTGTGATGTACATGGTACAGTCGATCAAACAACGACCAAAGCTTGAACCCAGGTTCTACAAAGGCATTTGGCTCGGCAAATGTACATCCACTGGAGAGTCCTTCATCGGCATTGCAGGCAGAATTGTACGCTCACGTACAATCAGACGACTAGCAGGTACAAACAGGTACGATGCTCAATTGATGGACACAATCACTGGCACACCATGGAATCCTACACCACCAATTGGATTCCAGCCAGCTTTCATACTACCACCAACACCAGCATCAACAGAGCAACAAGTCCAGGCAGGGCAAACATCACACGAAGAAACGAATACAGGCAATCAACCAACAACAGCAGCAAAGCATGCTACCAACACAAAGGAAGTAGAAACAGAAGCAAAGAAAGCAAGAACAGAGACAACAAAGAAACAAAGAGTCGAAGAACAACAGCAAAGCACAGCTTCAGCATCAACGTCAACACACTCTACAGCAATGAGGTTGGGAACATCACCAATGCCAACAGGCTCACCAACCAGACCAGTGGACGACCAAGTACATGAAGGAAGTGCAAGCAAGAGCAGAAAGCAAAGTACAACACAGCAAGCACCAGCGAGACCAGAAGAGACAGAGGAGAGAGACAGTACAAGACCAAGATTGAGAATCAATGCAGTTACAGTTGCATTGAAGAGCGGCAAGAAGATTACAACAGCAACAAGCGAAGACCCACAGGAGGTACGAGCAGAACAGAGGCTACTCGAGCCTCACATCTACAACAACGAAGGATTCGATACAGAGAAGTTGAAGCAAGGAATGCAAAAGGAGATGGAATCCATGAAAACACAAGGAGTGTACGAGGAGGTAGATGTTACAAAGCTTACACCTCAACAAAGACAAGAACTTGATCTCGACAACATCATCGAGTCAAGATGGGTCTACAGATCCAAAGGAGATGAAGTACGAGCAAGGATCGTAGCAAAAGGGTACACCGAACACATCGGAGACCAAGATGATGTGTAGGCAAGTACACCACTCTTTGCAGTGCTAAGGATACTCCTAGCACTCAGCATGGCCAGAGGATGGATTGTACAGGTAGGTGACATATCTACCGCTTTCTTACACGCACTCGCAGCAACAGCAGGCCTGGTACTCAGACCACCAAAGGAGTACTACACCAATCCAAACATCCTCTGGAGGTTACACAAAGCAATGTATGGTCTACGAAGCAGCCCGAAAGCATGGCAGGAGCACTTAGCAAAAGTGCTTACAGACCTCGGTCTAAAAAGACTACAATCAGAGCCCAATGTCTACACCAATGGCAAAGTTTACATCATGGTCTATGTTGACGATCTTCTCTTTACAGGAGAACCTGATGAGGTCGCTCGAATTTTCAAGGAGATACAGGCCAAGATGTTGCTTCGCCATACAGGCACTTGCACAACAAACAACACAATTGACTTCCTTGGAAGGAAGATTACAAACAAAGGAGATCACTTTGAAGTCTCTTTGGGAAACAGTTACATCGACAACATCCTACAAGAAGCAAACCTACAAAATGCAACAGCAGCCGTCACTACAGGTTCCAACAGCACTACACCTACAACAGAACAGGATGAACTCCTTGACACAGAAGAGCACGCCCACTACAGGCGTATGGTCGGAAAGCTGCAATGGCTTTCATACACACGACCAGACATGAGCTTTGCAGTAAAAGAACTAGCGCGTTCTTTACAACAACCAACAGTCCGCGACAGACAGCGGCTACGACATTGCCTCAGGTACCTAGCAGGTACAAAGCACCACAAGTTCGTGATACAACCAACGGTGTTTCTACAGCCCAACAACAAGGAACAGCTCGACCTGACAGTCTACACAGATGCAGACTGGGCAGGATGCCAGGTTACACGCAAAAGTACATCTGGCTTCGTGATCCAATTCCTTGGGACTACAGTTCACTTTGGTTCACGTACACAATCCGTAGTAGCACTTTCTTCAGCAGAAAGCGAGTTCTACGCGATTGGTACAGGTGCTACAGAGGCATTACACCTCAAGAACTTCTTGGGAGAGATCCTACACAACAAGATCAGCCTCAAAATACACACTGACAGCACATCAGGCAAAAGTATGGCTACACGCATTGGCGTGTCCAAGCGAGCCAAACACATCGAACTCAAATACATGTTCATACAACACCTCATTCACGACGGCATCCTTTCCATACACAAAATCAACACCAAACACAATCCGTCAGACATACTTACAAAATACGTGCAACGAGAAGTGCTTCAATGGCACTTACATGCTGCGGGCATACGTCCGCCAGACAATTGAGGAGAATCCAGCTACAGCAGTTTCACACACCAGCATGCGAACACAACAAGTGTACACGTATCTGCAGCCTACTTGATTGAGTATATCATGTACACGTATGTTTACCTTAAGGGGTACATGGTCATTGTGATACATTTTGGCACGTACATGATCACCTCATCTTTCACTACATCATTCACCCCAAGGGTTACATGATGGTTTTCACTTCAGTTCTTTTTGCAGTACAAGTTTTGCAGCGATACATTTTCAACGCTACAGAACATGGCTCACAAAGGGTACTACGCATCACTGTGGATTGGATGAGGATCCTACAGCAGTACAGCTACACCCGTGGCTATGTGTGGAACCAGTACATTCCCTTGGATGTACAACATGTTTTGGGCAGACCAGCGGCTGACCCAGTACATGCAGCTCTGACCATGGCACTACATCATGCAGGCACGGCATTGTCCAGATACATGCCAGCTGATGTACAGCATGGATTGCTGCAGTACACAGCTCAGTTCACCATACACGTGAAGGAGAACTTTGATGAGAATGAAAATCTTGGTTCACAAGATACAAGGGACAAGCTACAAGCCAAGATTTCAGGATCTACAGCTCCAGCTACACTGCCAGGAGCTACACCCGAGACCGCCTTGGGTACATCCTGATCTACAATGGTGACGAGCTCTACAAGGCTGAATTTGTGAAGTACATGGTTGGATACTGCTACAGTTTTCTTACAACGGTTTCTGACTACATGTGAGTAACTCTGCATGGATACATCCATCTGACACAATTCTGGCTACAAGATGTCTGTACATCAACACGGCACTACGTTTTTCGATCGATGTACAGGATTTTCGAAGGCAAAGTTTTGTACAGATGACTGATGTCTTGCATGATTTAATACAGTTCAGTTATACAATGATTCTTTCAATGTTTGTGAAGTACATGTTGCAGTTGAGGCAGGGTGTTAAGAATACACCTGCACATGTACATGAGCTATACAGTTGCTGATACAACATGTTGGTCCACTCTGAGTACATGTCATGGTACGATACATTTGGGCTCCATACAAGGCTCTTGAGCGTTACCCTGAGTTAGTGAAAAGTACAGCGCGTGGGCTACAGCTGCTGAGAGTACAGGAAGGGAAGTTGTACACTTGATTTCAACAATCATCATCATCATCATCATCATCACGGGGGTGCTAGTTTAATATTCCCTCATATCTTTGTTGATCTTCCCAATTGCATGTAAAGTTTAACGGGGGTGAGATTTTAATATTCCCTAATATCTTTGTTGATCTTCCCAGTTGCATGTAAAGTTTAACGGGGGTGGGAGTTTAATATTCCCTGATATCTTTGTTGATCTTCCCAATTGCATGTAAAGTTTAACGGGGGTGGAAGTTTAATATTCCCTAATATCCTTGTTGATCTTCCCAATTGAATGTAAAGTTTAACGGGGGTGGGAGTTTAATATTCCCTAATATCCTTGTTGAATTTCCCAATTGAATGTAAAGTTTAACGGGGGTGGGAGTATAATATTCCCTAATATCTTTGTTGATCTTCCCAATTGAATGTAAAGTTTAACGGGGGTGAGATTTTAATATTCCCTAATATCTTTGTTGATCTTCCCAGTTGCATGTAAAGTTTAATGGGGGTGGGAGTTTGATATTCCCTAATATCTTTGTTGATCTTCCCAATTGAATGTAAAGTTTAACGGGGGTGGGAGTTTAATATTCCCTAATATCTTTGTTGATCTTCCCAGTTGCATGTAAAGTTTAACGGGGGTGGGAGTTTAATATTCCCTAATATCTTTGTTGATCTTCCTAATTGAATTTTAATTTTCACGATTTGAGAGTTTAAAATTTGCTAGTACCTTTGTTGTTTTTTCCATAGGAATTGCAGGTGTTATGCCGTTTTTGTTTTTCCCATAGGAATTTCGGGTGTTTTGACCTTGTTTGTTTGATAGTCTCTAGTACCTGTGTTTTTATTCCCATAGGAATTATGGTAATTTGCAACATCATTTGTTCGTGAATGGGACATATATACGCTGCAACGCCTGGGCAGAACCCAGGCGTTGCGCGTATATATATATATATATATATATATATATATGAGTCTCAGATTTTGCCATGTTTCGCTTGTACCATGCTTGTACCACTTCCAAAATCTTCCCACATGGTAACATATATATATATATATTTATTATATATATAGATATATCTATATATTATCTATATACATATAATTCATATAATCATATAATTACATATGTATGTGATAGTGCATGATCAGAATGATCCTGCACCTTCACATCAATGCACTGAGGCCCGACTCCCCAACTCCCCGGTGTTTTCCGGTCTCCGGTCCTTCGACTCGCAGCAGTTCCAATGGTTCGACCAGACACGTTGCCCTCCCCCAGGGCGGTCTCAGGATTGACCTGCCAAGGAACCCAGGCAGCTCCCAGCTGTAACCCATGCGACCATCCAACGTGGTGGAAATCCATAAGTTGGGCACAGCAAAATCTGAGAAATCAAAAAAAAACAACAAAATTCATATGTTTTTGGTATTTTTCATGAAATTTTCTCTATGAAAACATATGAAAATTGCCGCAACTTGGTGCATCCCCCAGACAAAACCACTCGCCTGCGCCATCGCTCAAGCCGATTGGCTGGTCTTGGACCAGCAAGCGGCTGGAAGAGCCAGGAATACGATCGCGGTCCAGCCATGTTTCAACACGTTTCAACACGTTTTAACATGTTTCAACATCATCAGCTGCCGGGTTCTGGAGACATTTTGATCAATTTTTTAATCAGTTTAGATCTTTGCATCTTTACACCAACGTCTTAGCAACTTTTACACACCTTTGAACGATCTCTTTTGACCTTTCTATTTTGCGGAATACTCAGCTAACGAACTGGCATGGAACATGAGTTTTCACCCATCCTTTGAGTGTTTCACTATGGGAGCCCAAAATTCCGATGCCTTAGGATCTGATCAAAAAAATGCGCGTCTCGTTTATTTTTTCCCCTTTTTCCCCATGTCCTAAAATTGCCACGGGTCATTGGGTCATATCCTCTAGCCCGTGGCCTCGACACCTCTGTGGCGAGATCGTCAATGTTTGCATCCGGACTGCGAGATGTTCGGTGACGGACCAAAGATCGCTGGCATCCAGGGACCATTCATGAACATTCTATAAATTTGTGCGATCTTTCTGAAATTGATCTTTATTTCAATGTCTCGAAACATGTCCGGATTTCAAACCTTTGTCCAGGACTAATACATCACCGGTTTACTGACACAGAGGGGTACCAGTTTTAATAGCAATTCACATATTACTGTTTGTTGGGGAATCACCAAATGAATTACAGTATATATTCATTTACTCGTCATTGATCCGGGGTTGACATTAACACTCCAGAGATTCATCTACCACCATCTGGTGCAAGGACACAGGAAAGCGCCTGTAGGTCTCTTGGACAAAAACGTCAACGTTCACAACGCTCCAAAGCAGCAAATAATCCTTGGTCTCTCAGACTGCTCCAACCCCGATGGAACCCAGGAGCATACCGCATCACCAAGAATCCGCTGCACAAGTGTGTTCCAAATAGTCTCTGAGAAAGGGGTTACCCTGCAGTAAACTAAGATAGATCAATAATGATCAATATAGATATCATAGATATGGAAAATCCATGAAAATCCACCATGCAACTAGATCATGTCCTTTTCTTCCGACTTCGGAAACCCATGGGATTTCCATAGATTTCCCATCGCACCTTGTAGCTGTCGGCTTTCATCTGCGCCGGTCTCAGGGCCGGCTTGGCGCCCACGGACAGCTGCCAGAAGGAGCTTTTCCTGGAGCGAAACGGGCTGAAATTTCACGTGGGAACTCCATGGTTTTTTGGGCTGCGAAAGGAATATTTTCTAATATTTTCTGGGGATAATAGGTAATATATATATATAATATTATATTATTATATATATATAATATTATAATTATATATATATAATTACATACAGTATATGATTAATAATGGATATGGCGCAGTTTTATGGCAGTTTTTGGGTTCCATGATGTTCCATGTTCTGGTTGCAATGGTGTTGTTCTAGGCTGCAGTGGATCGAGTCAACTCTTGCAGTCCTGGTGGATGGATCAATGCTCAGAACCTGGCCAGATAACTGAGATCACTGAGCTGCGTCTCCACATGTCTCGACTCAGTTACTCAGCGGATTGCTGCCGAGTGGACACCAATAACTGTACGACATCGTACTTGCAGCTTGGCAACGAGAGGTTCTGGGAATCCTCGTAGAATTGGTACCTCAGCCGGCGAATTGCAGAGACTGACACGGTGTCAGCTACCCTGTGCTAGGGGATCTCCATCAGTCTCCCACGCCAGTCAATGATTTGTCCATCGGAAACGTTGAACGTTGTCTCAACTTCAAGGATCTTCAAGGTATCTTCCTAGAGTCTAAGGATGTGTACGGATATTTAAGGGACAATCCTATACACATTTGTAATTTATGGCAACGCCGCAAAAAAGCATGGAGGAAAACCAAATGGAACAACTGGAACAACCAAAGGTTTCCTGTAATCTGTTCCTTGAACCAACCCATTGAACAAATCCGTGGAAAAGACAGAAAAAAATCCCTAAGACTTGCCTAGAGTTTGTTCAAGCTCACAACTTTCAGGACCCCAAAATTCTCGGCGGAAAACTCACCAAAAACACGCCTATATGGTTTCTTATACATGGTTTTAGAAAGAATCATGTTTTTTCATTGAAAACCATGATTTTTCCATTAAAAAAAACCTGGTTTTCCCATGAAAAACCACGATTTTCCCCTGGAAAAGCCATGATTTTCCCCTGGAAGCCCCACGGAGGCTGAGCTCGTCACCAACAGGGCAGCCAACTCCTTCGCTGCCTGCTCGCTGGCCACGACGAAGCAGCCCAAGGGCCTCGGTTGGGGCTGATTTTTGTGCGATTATTGTTGGAAATGCCAGGTTTACTCTCTGGCAATGTGTTTAGCCTCGGGTAATTTGTTAATGGCAGGAACTGCCATGTCTGAAATCGTTCATATCCTCTGGTCATTTGTGATAGTTTGCGAACTGGAAAATTGCACCTTTATATAGTTGATTTACCTATTAAAGATTGTGATTTTCCATAGCAAACTGTTAGTTTACTAAAGGGTATACCTCGAAATATTGGCTTTAAGGGGAACATCTGACAAAACACCATCAATTTGATGGGAAGCAATCGTGCTTTAACCGACGTTTGCGGTAAAGATATTCCCTGAAACCAATCCATTGATTGGTGGATCAATCTGGGAACACAGTGGGAAACACGGATCTGACATCAGCCAAACTGTACACACATCATTTCTGGAGGTATCACGCCACACATTAAACCTCCCATGGTAGACATGTCGTGATATGTCAGTGCTCCCAAAAGACACAAATGGTCAGTCCGTTCAACATATATATAATTGACCCCTTTCTACCGGTTTTGTCTAGCAGGTTTCCATCTTTTTTCTGGTGTCGTCTGATAAAAAGGGTAACCACAAATCCTATAGTTTATCATGTTCACCAGAATCCATGGACACACCCGTTTGGGTGGAAGATTCTGAAGATGGGATGTACCCCGAAATGTTCCTTTTCATAGGGCTAGTTAAATAAATATATATATACAATTCTCCTTCATGGATTCAAGATGATTTAGATTGATTTAGGTCTACCATATATTTTCAACGAAACCATTTGAGCCATGAAAAGAATGTTCCAGCTGATTGGTTGTAGGGGGTCAAAACTATACACTTATTACCCATAAGCCAAGGTACCCTCTGGTAATTTGTTCCATAGCTATGGTATAGATGGCCCATAGAAAGTTCGTGGATTTACCTATGAAAACGGGTGATTTTCCAGTTTGCAAACTGTTAGTTTACCAGAGGGTAGATTCCATTATATCCCAGTAAAACACCATTGTTCTTCATTATCTTCTTCATTATCCCATCACTTATATCCCATCATGTATATATATCCATCATTTATATCCCATCACGTTGGCAGGGACAATTATACATGATGTGTAAACATTCGAAATGGCCGGGCTTATCACCAAGTTATCATTTATCATCATTTATCATCATTTATCATCATTTATGATCATTTATCATCATTTATCATCATTTATCATCATGTATATCATCATTGATATCATCATTTATATCATCATTTATATCATCATTTATATCATCATTCATATATCTTATATATATCTTATATACCATCAAGTTGGGTGAATCACCACTATATACATAATTATGTATATAGTTATATATATATATGTACATAATATATATATAATGTATATATATAATGTATACATATATATATATAATGTATACATATATATATATAATGTATACATATATATATAATGTATATATATATAATGTATATATATATATAATGTATATATTTATAATGTGTATATATATAATGTATATATGTGAGTGGTATCACACTGGCAGCACCAAATCCCACTCTCCCAAAGTCAGCGGCTTTTCACCTGGTGATCGCCACAAGAAGTGAGAGTCCTTCGAACAAGCTGCCTAACAAGCAAGGCTTACAAAGCCCAAGATACCACGTCCAAGAAAGCTGGCCACAGCTTTGGAAGATCGACCGCGATCGAATGGCTGCAAGTGCTTTAAGTCCCTACCTCGCCCACCACGGCTTGTCCTCAAGCCTAAAACACTATGCTGCATGAAACATGGTTTCTCCCCTTTCAGCTGGCTTGGACATGTCTTCCAGGTTGGAATTTATTCAACGAGGTTTTGATGAGAACACATCACATGGGAATAATGACACAACGACTGGGTTCGTTGGGAAATTCACACTCCCAAAAGATGTTTTTCTTCATTATTTTCAAGTTTCTCATCATTGCAGGTTTGCAACCATCTCATGCGGGATCGGCTTGTGGCACGTTCCTTCAAGACTTGCCCTTCATCGTGCAGGCTGTATTGACCTACTTTCAAGGTATGTCGGAGGAAGTGAGTCTGCATGATTTTGGTCAATGCATCTGCAAGCTGTGCGGCACTATGGACCCATCTTACCTTTACCCCTTCAGCTATCATGTCTTTGATGGCTCTCGCTTGTAACTGGGTTCTAAACTCCTGGCACTGTGGTGGAGCAGTTCGGGTGATTAAATCAAACAATGATTTACAATCGGTTACTGCAATCGAGGGATCTTCTTTGAGAGTGGCCGTTGTGAAGGTTGATGGTAATTCCTTGAGAGTTTTTGATGGATTCTTCCAATCAGTGCAGGGGTTTCGTATCCAGCTCCAAAACAACCATGAAAGTTGATCTAGAGTGGTACTGAGGGAAGTGGTCTCAGCTGCCAAAGTGCTTGTCACTACTCGCTGAATTTTCTTGCATCCCCAGCTTATGGGATTCACGGGGCACACATGATTCTTTCCGATATCTTCGTGGGTTGTCATGATGATAGTTCCTGTGTGAGATTCTGGCTGTTTCTTGGAAGCAAACGATGCATCGGAAAATGCCAAAAACCTGATTTTATCCATGGGTATTGGTTGTATACGGATGGTGGTGTCTTTGTGTCTTTTTGCTTCGTGAAGTATCTGATTTCCTTGAATGAGTGTTGCAATGGTCGCTTGATTGATGTCACTCTGAATGAAACTTAACCTGCTCGATAAGTCAGGTCTCGTGTTTACGGCTGCATATTGAAGTGATCCTATGAGTGCACGGAGATCTTGTCTCTCTCGTTCGGTGACTGGAAGTTCAAGTTGGGATTTTCTTTCTGGTTTGATGTGGATGGGTTCAATTTTGGAAACATATTTTTCCTGTGACATGACGATGCTGGATGCTGGAATCACTTTGTTGACTCATTTCAATCCCTGTGAACACAAAGCTCTGAGATTTCCGGGATCCGAAAGGAAATGTTGTCTCGAGTGCTTTCACCTGAGACTGGAAATAACTATCTCCTCCGCATAGACCATCATCTACATGGACCCCAAGGATCCCCGATGGCTCTTTTGCTCCTGGTTTGAACAGCAAATAGAGGCATGGGTCAAATGGGGATGGTATGAAGTTCAAGCTACGCAGGGTGGTGTCAAGTTCTGTGAACCATAGAAATGGAGCATCAATTAAACCATACGCTGATTTAATGAGTTTACAAACCTCCGTGGATTTCAAATCCATGGCTTTCACCATTTCTGGGACAGGTTCAATGGCAATTTCCCTTCCTTCCTGAGTGCGGCCCTGGAGGAACGCTGCTTTGATGTCGAAAGACATGAGTGTCCATCTCATGGAGGCAATCACTTGGGCTATCAGCATTTTTGAAGTTCTCCCCAGTGTAGGACTGTCTCTAGGAATTGTTTCCAGTTGGGGATCCATATATCCTAGAACCACCAGGCGGGCTTTTGCTTTGCGACTACGCCCCCCATTTTCTTTTTGTTCTTTAGGACACTCTATAGGCTTCCAAACATACAGCCATCTGCATCTCAGGATTTGTTCAGGTGACAAGGCATTTCGGAACATTCTTTCCACAGTCCCGGTCTGAAGCCAGTTGTTCACCTCCTTGGCCTTTGCAGCCTCGAATTCCTGGCGCTCATGAGGATCTAGAGTGCTTAACTTGACCTCAGTCCGTTGTTTCTTGGATGCTGTTGCTAACATGATGAAATCTTCTTCACATGGATTTTCCTGGGAAAAACACATCTCATCCAATTGAGCTTTGGTGAATTCGAGCTCGGCTTTCCAGACATGGTCTTTGCCATCTGGTGCGAAGAGATCTGACTTGTCATCGTCAGTGCAAGTCAGGAGATCACACAAAAGTTCATCATCGGTGGCATCAGGGAGTGGTATTTCATGAGGTTCTAAGGTGGGTTGACTTTCGGCTTCGGGATTATTTAAATGTAAGTTATGTGGACTATTGTCGGGTGAAGAATTATCATTTTTAATGGTGAGGTTACCTTGGGAATTTTCATCAGGCTCTTGGTCAGGCTGTTCGGATGCTCTTGAGCTAGTTGGTCTGGCGTTTTCGGATGGCACAAACACTTCAGTGGTTGTTGGAAGTCTGGCAATCTCATTGGTTGGGCTTTCGGTGGGAATTTGATCTGAAGGATTATTGGAAATCTGCGCATGTGGTGGGACTTGTGAGGTTCTCAACAGGGATATGGGATTTTCTGTCATGGGAATTAGTCTGGCTTCTACCGCACTGACTGGACGTACATGTTCTGGAGCAGCCCGCAGTACAGACCCTGCATTGTTGCAAAACACTGATGTTGGACCGTCTTGGATTATTACCTTTGCAGGACCAATCCAGGAACCCTTACCTATGTGGAATTTCCAGACCATTACCCATTCCCCAGGTTCATAGGCCCCTCTATGTGGACGATCTCTTCTCAGTGCTGCACGACGAATTGCCATATCGTTGTCGGCTGCATGAAAGGCTCTTCGTGCTGTCTCTCGCATTGCGAGCACTTTCCTAAAGCGAATGCCCTGGCTGTCATCATTGGTAGCGATGGCATGAGCTGGCAAGGTGTCATCTCCAACAATGGAACCTGGAACCCGTAGGCCACGACCGAAAACAAGAGTCTCGGGTGAGTATCCATGTCTTAGACTGCAGGCATTCTTTGCCATGGTACAATGGGTTAGGGCTTGTTGGAATTGGAAATAATCAGTCACATCATGTTCCAATTCATATTTGCTTAACATTGATTGGAGTACACCGCCGTGTCGCTCAATGCGACCCATCTGCCAGTGAGCATCTGGAGGGACCACTGTACATTGTACATTCATGCTTTGAAGAAACTCTTCAAATGCTTGTGACACAAATTCTGATGCTGAATCCATGATAACTGTGTTGGGAGGACCAGCCCAGTTGAGCCATCCAGAGGTGAATCTTTCCTGAACTTCTGCTCGATTCGGGGCCACCACTGCAGTGTGGTAGTTGGTACCGTGACAAATGAAATGGTAAAAATGGAAATCTTGGCCCTGTTTGTTACTCCATTTTACCCCATCCATTGATATCTTATCACCGAAATTCAGTTCCTCCTTCAGTGTCGCAGGACGTTGGAGTCTTGGTTGCTGTTGCATTTGGCATACGGAACATTTGAGGTCTAACACTCCTCGCACCAATTCATCAGAGTAACCCCTTTGCTGAAGTACCTTACTCAACTTGGTGGGATCTGGGTGACCTAAGTTTTTGTGAAGTCGAATAGCAAGTTTCTTGTTCTCCGGTGACATTGTCATGAGCTTGGAACCATGGTCCTTGCTTTCGAAGTCTATTTGACTTGGATCCTTGGTGCTTTCGGGTGTTGCGACACTCGGTGGTTGCAGCTGACTCTCAAAGGCTGGTGTGCTCGAGAGCCCATTGGTTGGCACATCCGGTACCGAGGATTGGGCTGCAACACTTGGTTCAGTGGCCTCATGGCTGATTGGTCTCTGGCTTTCACTGGCAGGTGATGAAATCTCGGTTGGATTTCGAGCGAACACTGTTATATTCAAAAAGGAGGGATGTGACCGTCGCCACAGCTGTCGGGCTGACAAATGGCGCCATTCCTCCCATTGACCTTCTACTTTGATGGCTTTGGTTTGTCTTTGGATGATGATGGCTCTGCGAAAAGGAGCTTCTGCTGGCATCATATTCTTCGGGGGAGTGATGGTTCTCTCCGTCCCTTTGCAAATCACAACCCGAACTATTTGTTTGTCATGAAACACTTCTTGAAGTCCTGCAAGAATGGAGGGATCATTGATCTCTTTCCTGCCTACCCTGGGAGCTAAGCTGGATATTTTCTCACAGAGTTGGATGCAAAGGGTTCCTACATTGTCGGTGGTCTTCTCATGGAGGCGACGCTTCTTTGCCGGCATTTCACTGGGCTCAATCAGTGGACTGACGGGTGTCAGCTTCGCTCGCTTGGATGCAGGTGCCAGGGATGCACTGGTATTTCTTTTGGCGTCGGATGCAAAAGCTTCGGACAATCCCATAGGTTTGCTACGTTGACATTTGACTTTTGTCAAAACCTGTGCAACTTTCCTGGCAAATCTTCGACTGTAGTTTTCGGAAAACTCGGTCCTTTTGATTCTCATCCCCTTTACCACAGTTTCCCCTTCAAGTGGCTGATGTTGATGTTGTTTATTGCAAGTGAGTCGGTTGAAATGATAATAGAATTCTTGTGAGGTGGTGTGAATTTCCATGCCCTTCTTATATAGTAATTGGTTCATGGGGTCTCGGATGGCACCTACTCTGCACATGTCGAATCGGGCAACCTGAGTGTTTTGTATGATCTCCCACAACATTGGGGTTCGCATCATGATGGACCTGGCCGGTTGTTCCCAGTGCATATGTCGACCGGCATTCCGCTGGACACGGAAAAGGACTAGTCCTAGGGCCAACTGGAAAAGGTTTTCTTCTCTCTTCCGCTGCACTTCGACAAAGCCTTCGGTGCTCCTCATCTCATTGAACTGACTCCATGAACTCCAAGGCCCGCAGGTCGGGCTATACCATATGTGGTTGGGCTTCTGTTGATTGACAATTTCAAACAAACCTTCTCTGCCTTCTTTGGTGGAAAGGTCGCCTTGCTCAAAACCATACCTGCACGCTCGATATCCCAATTTACTTGTTTGTTTGGTCAGTTCACTTGCTGAGCTACAGAAGACCTCGAGCATCTGAATTGGCTTTGCTGATCGGCTGCCTACGCGTTTGGAGACTTCTTGAAATTCCTGTGAAAATTGGGCTACAAGTTGATGAAAAATTTGATGGCGATTATTGTTGACAGTGGTGTTGAAAATTGGATCTTCAAAGTCATTGTCAATGTCTCCAGCAAAGCATGCATGATCAGTGCTATCTCTCAGTTGTTGGCCGGGCGAACGTGCTGCAAGATCTCCATCAGCGCACTCTCCACATGCAACATCCTGGCCTGCAGGGCTTCGATGCTCTCCAGGTGTGGATCTTCGTCGAGTCCCCTGGCATTGTGGGCCAACATCTCTTCTGGGTCCATCACATCCCACTGCTCGGTCCCGATGTTGGAGCTGGCTTCCATGAACATGAAAGGGTCCACGGCTGTGGATGCCTTGGCTTTCGGTTGCCCTTTGCAGCGTGGCATGACAACTCCCTGTGTCATGGACTCCATCGGAGGCAGTTTGTGCTCTAGTTCGTGAGCTGATATCATCTTCTCGACATAAATCAGGAGCTTTCGATGTTCCACTTTTTGGCTGTCTGAGTAGGTCCTGATGAACCATTTGATCCAATTTTGCTCCTCCAACCACATTTCCAGATAGGTTCGCCCCATGTGGGCTTTGCCAAACGTAACCTTGGCATCTCCCATTTCCTGAACTGTCAGCTGCTGAAACTGGTCCACGCTGTCGTCGACTGCCTTGGTCATGACTCGGTCGAATCGGCTGCTCAGGCTCATTGCAGCTTTGTGGATTGGTTGACTTCACGAGCTCTAAAAAGGTCGGATGCGAACTTTTGGGCCAGGAGGTCTCTGTGCATTCATTGGTCTGTGAACGTCTGGACTCACGGTGGCTCTGGAAAATCTCATCCTGTTGATTTGATTGGCCTGGTGCTTGGCAAAACTTCTGTGTGAGATTGCAAGTGTGAAGTGAAACGTCCTCATGTGATTGGAAATTTGGTCTTGTGTCATGACATGTGGGATGATTACTGTGGCTTTCAAAGGATTTGACTGGTGCTTGGAAAGGTTGATGGCGTTCAGCAATTTTGCACTCGGAAAAATCATGGCTGGTGAATGTCTCGGCAATGGTCAGGTTTGACCTGTCACTGGGCCCTTTCTGTGCTTTCAACAATTCATTCACATCCAACAAATACAAACCGCGTGCACTCAATCTCAACTGAACATCATGTTTGAACATTGGGCTGGACAGAACCTGATACTCGCTGTTGATGCTTGCCTTAAGGGTTCTCAACAAAGTGTTAGATAACAACAATGGTGTTTCCCCAGGCACTACAGCTATCTTTAATCCCAAACCAATTGATTTGAGGGGGATCACCAACGCCTGGCTGCTGTCAAGAGTTCCCTGATTGCCAAACCTGAAAGTGATGTCACATGATGTTCGGAACAGTTGACTTCGAACTTCCTTGGGCAGACCCTCAAGAAACGATGGTAGCAGCTTGCTACCAATCACAGACTTTGTGGCACCTGTGTCTAAGATGCCTGATGTGCCATGCGATGCAAAAAGTGCTAAAGCAGGCTCACTCATCTTTGGCGGATCACTGGCTTTCATCGGCAAATGGCAGGAGGCTTCATTCCTGGGAGGATGGCTTTTCAGGCTCTTTCCCCTATCATTATCCCAAGACCCCTTGTACTTGAGACGTTCCCGAAGCTCATGCGGAATGGCCATACTGACATTAATTAAATGCAAACTAGAATCATCTATGGTGACGTCTTGAACCATGGGCAACTGCATGAACTCCATTGGCAAGGCATCGGGCTCACCCTCGAGGGAAACTGCTTCGGCTGTCATGGTGGCTGCCGTGCTGGTTACACTGTTAGCTGAGGCATTTTGGCGCTCTGGGCACTCTGCGCGCCAATGACCTCTCTTTCCACAGTGTCTGCATGTGCTTTCCATGATTCTTTGCTGCAAACTTTTTCGGGGTCCACGGCCGTAACTCTTTCCCTTGCCCTTGAATCCATGGAGTTTTGGACTTACCCTTCCCAGAGCTCACAGGCCAAAATCCACGATTTTTGAAGCGATCGGACAAGCGCTTGCGCGCCTCACTGTACGCATTGTATGCGCTGGCCAGATCTTCGTCTGACTGCAGTGTGTCTGCCGCTGCAGACTCATAGTCTGCGATCAGCAGAGCGTCCTCGTCCTCGTTCAAGAGCAATTGTTCATAGTAATCTTCTTCCCCGATTTCATCAGCAACATACACATGAGATTCTTGACCCTCATCTTGTATATCTTCAGTCAAAAACGTCTGTTGATCATAGATCTTCCCTTTGGATTTCTTTTGACCGATCATCTCATTGAAAAAGGCTGTTCCAAGCATCCGGACAGACTGGCTCACCTTGTCAATCGTCAAAGCTCCCTGAGTAGAAGATTCACTTTCCAGGATGACACGTTTCTTGTCTTCCGATGTCAAAAGAGACCCTCGGAGCACTATGTATGCATGTACCTGATCCAGATCTATCTTCTTGGCCTTGAGTTCTGACCAAACCACATCACACCTAGCCAGAAAGGAATCGTTTGATTCGTCCTGTCGTTGGACGCACTTGAACAATGCCTTTTCCACAATCTCATATGTTTTCTCCAGACTTACTTTGCCCCATTGTCCACCAAGCAATGATATCAGCAATTGAATTCCTGCCTTGTCACCTGTGATTAACTTAGCACGATTCAGTTGAAGCTTCTGGAAAGCAGAACCTGTTGTATTGAGAATTAACCTGGTGATCAACTCGTTGACCTTGTTCTCGGGCCAGATTTCACTCAGCAATTCTACCTTCTGCGTGTACTGTTCCAGGTCGTCTTTCGACGGATCAAAGCTCGGCACAAGTTGGGCCATCTGGTTTGAGATGGTTGCAGTTCCCTCTGATGGGTCACCATTTGTCTGCGCCATGGTGACCTCCAAAGATGATGTATCCCCTGGAGCAACAAAACGGAGGTAGCTCCGCTACCAGTGTGAGTGGTATCACACTGGCAGCACCAAATCCCACTCTCCCAAAGTCAGCGGCTTTTCACCTGGTGATCGCCACAAGAAGTGAGAGTCCTTCGAACAAGCTGCCTAACAAGCAAGGCTTACAAAGCCCAAGATACCACGTCCAAGGAAGCTGGCCACAGCTTTGGAAGATCGACCGCGATCGAATGGCTGCAAGTGCTTTAAGTCCCTACCTCGCCCACCACGGCTTGTCCTCAAGCCTAAAACACTATGGTGCATGAAACATGGTTTCTCCCCTTTCAGCTGGCTTGGACATGTCTTCCAGGTTGGAATTTATTCAACGAGGTTTTGATGAGAACACATCACATGGGAATAATGACACAACGACTGGGTTCGTTGGGAAATTCACATATATATATAATGTATATATATAATGTATATAATTATATATATATATACACATCTATATATCCCAGTAAATCACCACTATCCCATGATTTAAATCCCATCAACTTATCACCTGGGTAACCAAAAAAAGGTCCATCAACCACCGCCCGGTGACGCCATTGCAGCTGGCAACAGCTTGCGCACCGCCGAGGTGTGCTGGAGGAGGCAGTCCCACGTGGGGGTACCCCAGGCGTCACCATGGGTGAACATCACCATTTTTTATGGGTTAGTAATGGGTTCATGATGCTTGATAATGGTTAATTAATGCTAATTATGGGTAATCATGATATACCCTCTGGTAAACTAACAGTTTGCGAACTGCAACATTGACATTTAGTTCGTTGATTTACCCATGAACAATGGTGATTTTACATAGCAAACTGTTAGTTTACCAGAGGTTATAACTATGCTAAATCATGGTCCAATAACTTGGATGATGACATAGCCTTGGGGACTTCCCCATGTTGACCCATTCTTGCTATGTCAACACGACTTTTTGGAGGCTATCCACCCCAAACTAATTCAAAAAAAACTAATCAACCCTGGCTGGGGAATTTTCGATCTGTCCATTTTCAAGGACATACACCGTGTCCTTTGGGAAAAAATCATTTGTTGATCAATAGGGAATCCAAAAATGGACTGCGACCATCCCAGATGATCCCCATATATAATCATCAACCAACAAGGGTTTATCAACTATATCCTCATACTACCGTATCCCATACTCATGATGATTAAAACATGTTAAAACATATATTCAAACATATCAAACCATGTTCAACCCCCATAAAAAGATGCTTGAATCAGTTCATCACCATTACCCTCTGGTAAACTAACAGTTTGCTATGGAAAATCACCACTCTTAATGGGTAAATCAACGAACTAAATGGCCATTTTCAAGTTTGCAAACTGTTAGTTTACCAGAGGTAATCCTTAAATCAGACAGACTTTCGCTGCCACTGCTGGGTTTCCCCCATGAAAAACTCCCTATGCCTGCACGACCCAGTCGCTGAAGGAGACGCCAGCGCTGGAGGATTTCAACAGGCTGGCAACGTCCTGAATTTCTCAGTCTTGACTCCAAATCCATCAACACTATATAAGCATTCACCCCTAGTAATAATATGTGTATATATATATGTATATGTAAATACATGTATATGTGAATATACTTAACATAATATATGTAACATATGTAGATATGTTTGTACAATTATTATTATATATATATGTACATATATATGCCGTAGTTTCTGTGTACACACAAATTGACATATTGCAATATTTCACCATCGACGGATGCGCCTTTGGAGCTCTGTCCACTGTTGAGGTACCCGCTGGTTATTGAACATAGCTATTGAAAATGGCCATTTAGTTCGTTGACATTAAAATAAACAATGTGATTTTCCATAGTTATGTTAGTTTATCAGAGGGATCCAGAGGGTATCACTAGTATAGAGTTACTGAACATGTTTTGTATTTTGGATGGACTCATAAATATCCCTGACATGTGCATGGCAAAACAACGAACACTCACGTATTAGTAATTACGAGTTTACCCTTCTTGTTCTTGGTTTCACCCACCGATGAAACACAGATGAACAGAGTCACTGTGGATCATCATCCCATTTTGTTGGCATGGAAACAAAACGTCAATCATCAAGAATTCAAGAAACCACTATGGAATTTTGCCAGCGAGAAACACACATTCTTCAAGGCTATTGGATAAAAGAAACGTGCCATGACGTCATGGGACCAGGCCATTGCACCAATGAAAATCGACATGAATAGAAGAAATTATCATATATCATCATTTAGATCCAATACATCTTCATACATTTCCCCCATAATATATATATATATTATAATTATAATCATATATATATATATGCATTGATGACCATATTCTGATATAAGAAAGAGTCACCCCATGGCCATGCCAACACGCTCATCAACTGCTGATCTCCTTGGGAGCTGCATCAGCGTCACCCTCCTGCGCTGGGAAAATCAACGACTTCGAAATGACACCTTTTCCAAAATCTATGTTTGATATATTGTTTGATGGATTGATTTCCCTCAATCATCCTCAATCTAACGTGTTCTTTTTTTTGTTCATATTTTTGGAGGCTGATACCCTTAATCAACTTTGATGTTCCATAATTAAGATATATTAAGATAACCATAGATCACCAATATCTGTCCATCCACGGGGGTTCTGAGTTCCTGATATCCTCTCTTCCTGTGGCTGTCTCATGTATCCCTGGATTATAACGGTAGCGACTTTTTGGCCATTCATAGCTATTCCAATATGTTTCATGATTTTGGGCTGTAACATCACTCTCGAATCATTTAAGTCAAGTTGAAAAAATCACTGCTTGAATCCCAAATCTTTCTTGGAACGTCGCTAGTTTCATGACACTATGTCCGCTCTCCGCAGAATCTCCGTTAATTACCAAATATGATGATTCATCCAATGCATTCGAATGCTTGCTTGATTTTACATATTTTATCTGGTGACTCAAATGTAATCTCCCATGTTTTTTCTCCCCTCAATGTTGCACGATATTTGGTACTTTCTCACCTCGTCCAGCGGAGGTGTGGCTGCCGCGAAGAGGACATCGCCCAAACCATTCTCGACCTGGAAATTGGGTCCGTTTTGGGTCCTTCGGTCCGGGCCATCGTATCGTGGGGTTCCTAATATAAGGTGGTGGCCCCAACGCGAGTGGTCAAAACTGGGCTAAGGATGGCTAAGGTTCATGGTTCATGGATGTTCATGGTAACATGAGATAACGAACTGGTGCATGGGGGTCATAAACCAACTTATAACTTGGGGGGCACCAGCTTGTATGGAAAATGATGGAACATGACATTTCAAAACATTGGGGAAGAGCCGAGAAAAATGATGAGTGACCAATTTTTTGATCAATATAGTTTGAAGATGTTTGATGATGCCTTTTCTCAAGGAAGCTATAGGATGCTGTTTCTGCCATGATGCTTCAAAACAGCATACATAAATAGACGCCACAAAATACCACAAATATCCAAAAATTAGACCATTGATCTACCAATGGCTGTGTCTCAAAACGGTGGGAACTTCTGGGCTTCTCCGATGGGATCGTTTCAAGTTTGTGTCCAGGCGCAACATCTCGAAATTCTGGTGTTGCTAGACTAGTCTTGAAAATGGAATCATGTCGGTTAAAACCCAGATCTTGATGGTTTATACATGTTTATACCACCTATAAAAATGGTGAAATCGGGGATGGTTTCAAAGACGATGCCATCTGCACCACGTTCTGATCTGCACATATTCATCGCACTGAGATTTTTGATTGTCCACCTGTTGCAATTTGATCTATCGTGAATAATCTGATGTTGATGATGCTTTGCTTTCAACATCAAATGCACCAAAATAATAAGAAACCAACTCAAAGAACACCCAAACGCTATTTTGGTTCTTTACCTTTTGCTTCTTTGGCTTCAATGTCAAGCCAACAAAAATCAGGTCAACTCGATTCTGCTCGCGCGCTGCAGCGCCTCTTGACCCAACAAGAGGCCAAAGCGGACAGGCGTTCCGTGCAACCTCGGGGTTAAGTTGACCATGGAGCTAAAGCAGCATATGGAGGTTTCCTGAAATGGAAGTACCCCTAAATCACCAATTTTTCTAGGATTTTCCATGAAATAAACCATCCAGCTATGGGGGTACCCCCATGACTATGGAAACCCCCATATGTATCTCCACAATCAAACAGCCAATGCTAGGACTCCGACCTTGAGCTAAAGTTGCCGAAGAAAGTGCCATTGTAGGTGCCTAAACTCTGGCCATCGAAGGAATGGCCAGTGCCACTCCAAAAAGAAGGGATCCCTACAATGGCTTTAAGGTACAGAACCTCCAATTCACCTGTATCCGGGTGGTATTCTTCAATGCTATGAAAATTGGTTGTTTAACTATATTAACTATAAACTTGCGATAAATTGAGTGGTATAGTCATATTATGACAACAATCCATTCTCATACTGCTGTCACTTCTGCAGGCGCCTTTCTTGGCCATGGCGACAAGGGGCAAAGAGGGATCAAGACATGCTGCGTCCAGTGCTGGTCCTGGGCTATCTCTTTTTGAATGTCTGCATGGCTCTGAGCAATGCTACATTATCATCATTATTATCATTTTTATCATTATTATCATTATTATCATTATAATCATTATTATCATTATTATCAATATTATCAATATTATCAATATTATCATTATCACGATCATGATCATTGTCATTATTATCATTATCATCATTGTACATGTCGTGTATTTGTATGTGTATTTTCTATATTTTCTCAGATGTCTGATATGTGCGTATATTTACTCCGATATCCGGCATGATCCGGCCGTTGCAGTCTCAAAGTCTCATGGCACTTCGCCGGCGTTTGCGCCACGGTCTTGGTGACATTTGGTGACTAGAGAAAGTCCATACTGACGCTATCCTCTTTCAACATGTGGTTGTGAGGTATCCCACACTTGTTGAATCAATTTTGCACAGTAAATCAACAGCTCGAGCCATTTTTGGTGGTTGGACATGGTTGGACCGCAGCAGGATCCCTGGATCCCCAGGGTCAAATTTCCATGGAATCAACGAACATGTCGCCGCCAAAATCGTTTTGCCAAGCCTCCTTCCCCACTAAGAATTAACCATTATTAACCATTATTAACCATTAATCACCATTAATTAAGATGGTTTCCCCACTTGGAAAACATTCTGCACTAATCGTTACGATGACCTCTGGGCTTCCGCTCTTTTTTTGGTGAAAAGACCAATCTGTGCGCATGGCTGCAACACCAAAACAGCCGAGACGTCTGCAGATTGCAGCCCGGATCAATGGGCCAAACTTCGACACACGGTGAACTTAGTCACTTAGTTATACTCTAACATAGTGATGGCCATGTTCATGGCAGTGTTTTTTATCACTTGAAACACATCTTTTTCAACCAAATCAACCAAATCAATGTGTGATTTCACGAGAGTCACATTAAACATATTTGCCTCCAACATTTTCGTGACCCACCAGTAACTGCGAGGAACATAACAAGGGCATGGCTGGGTCATTTAAGGAGCCAACAACTTCGCTGTACACGACCGCGCAACCGATCGCAACCGCCGATCTCCTCACATCATGGAAAAATCGATGCATTCTGTGCCTTTGAGGTATGCTTCCCAATACAACTCTTCTGAATATCATGATAATATATTTAAGGATATAGTCCAATCATGATGATAATCCCAATATATCAATAATTATCAACATGAAATCATGATGATAATCATCCCACCGGAATTTCTATGGGTGAAATCCATTGGAAGACAGAGCAAGCACGAATGTACTTTCTGAACAATCAACACTGCCGATAAAATTTGGAGGCCTCGTGCTAAAGCGTGGCGTGGTTTCTGAAACTGCCTTGTCTGACTTGACCAGTGGTGAAAATCATCGTTTCCCGTATCAAAACATCCAGAAACTGGAGGGGTATACCCCATTTTCACACACCTTCTTTTTATATCAACATTGATCAACTATTAAAAATATCAAAACAAAACACTTCGCATTCGCATTGGCAAGACTTGATGATCTCATCGCGTCGGTCACGGCGATCGAAGAAACACGGCTGCGCGCAAAAAAACAACTCACTTGGCGCGGCCGTGGCGCTTGCCTGTCACTGCGGCGATCCTGGTGAGAGCCCAACGGAGACACCGAAAAGGGGACCGGTCCTTCCAACGCATGGATCATGTCGACAGGTTGACTCCCAACCATCCGTGGTTTTTTGGCACAGTGACGGCCAATCCTTGAGCTACAACAACAACAAACTGCTAAAAAGTAGAGGATTTTTAACATGATTATACATACAAAAAATAATATACAGATCATAATCTCATAATAACACTATAAACATTAAAATAGTAATTTTATATATAATCATAATGATGATGTTAATAATGATGACGATGATAACAATGATAATAATAATAAGAACTACAATAATAGTAATAAATTAATAATATCAACCTAGCTACACTATCCAAGCCGCTTTCCCCAGTCATGCTATGACCATTGATGGCCCATAGCGTATGAATCCCTGGCTTCACCCAACCCCTGTCCTGGGAAAACCGGTGAGTTCAGGCGATTTTTTTGCATCATTCCATGGCCACACATCGTGAATTATCCTCAGCCCGCGTTGCGATTCACGGCAAATCATTTGAAGCAAGCCATGGTTTCCCAAGCAACTACCCATATTTCTATTAAAGCCGCGCAACGCGATCACAGTTCCATCCAACCTGGCTTTATGCTTCAGCAGTCACCCCAAAAGCTTCAGCATAAACCAGGAACTTCAACAGTACCTGTACTGAAAAACAAAAAAAGGGGAAAGAAATGGACATATGGTGAACATATGAGGGAATTCCCAGTTTCTTGCTATCTCCTTGCTTCTCCTTGGTGGTGCCCCCAGTCATAATTTGGTTTATCACCTCCATGAAGTATAGAAAAACATCTACCAAAAGCCAAGTATAAAATGGAGTCCTAAATCAACTTTGCTAACGAACTGGGGCACTACCTCAAAAATAGATAAAAATAGCATCATTTGTTGGGTAACCCAGGGACAAGCCATGGATTAGCATGGACCCCCATTGACTTTATTGACTGTAACCATTTACACATGATTCACCTTTTTCCAAGTGGAGATGAGTCAAAACCTATAATTCCCATTTGTTTTTTGGATGAACATCCATTACTAGCCATTTCGGTGTGAAAACCACTTTAAGAGCGCTAGACCTTTCGCGCCCCTTTTAACAGTTTAACATATGGCTCTAGGATCTCGTCGTGCCTCTGCATTCTGTCTTAAAATGATCTGTTAAAATCCGTGCGGTTTGATCAACCGGCCATTGGCACAACAGGTTAGCCGTGTGTTTGTCACTTTTTTGTGAAACCAGTGGTGGACAAAATACTGGTACAACTGACGGATCAAAAGCATGTTAGATACTCGAGGAAGTGGAAAACCATATAGTAACATCATCCAACATACCTCCACGAGAAAGTAGGGCTGACACTTTTAAACACACCAAGTGTTGTTGTTTCGTTTCTTTTTTCCCTGAAAATAGAGTACAACAGTAGCCCAAAATCCCATGGTTTATCATCATGTTCCATCTCAAAATTATTGCCCTTTATATAAATTGGGGCAATATACCAATACCATTTAGTACCCACCCACACATCCCAGTTGGTCTGTTGGTTGAATCCCACATCAACAATATGCTAAATTTCACCGCAACCCAGAAACCAGAAATGAACCATGAAAAATACCCTGTTTTCCCATCTCATGAAAACGGTTTCCCTAGGGGATACAACCATCTCCAAAGTATATTTATCCATTTTTCGTCAACCAGGCTTTATAACCTTCAATATTTTTCAATATTTTGGGTCCCACAGCCCAACTGTGGCTGAGTTTCCCGAATCTCATTCGAGAAGTGGCGGCTCCGCATCTTCGTCTACCTTTTTTGGGCTCCCGGACGGCCATTTTCAGGGGGAAGAAAAAGGGGGAAATCCCCAACTTTTGTGGAGTCTTGTGGCTATATTGGGAATCACCGAAATTGGAAACCCATTTTTCAAAATGTACCCTCTGGTTATGGCTGACATAGCCATGGAAAATGACCCATAGAAATACTGTAGATGGTTTACCTATTAAAAATGGGTGGATCTTTCCATGGCCATGTTAGTCATAACCAGATGCTATCTATGATCAACTATGTAACTGATCAACTATGATTGGAAAACCATTTTTCTTTAACAAAATCCTCTGATCAACATTGATCAACGTGTTGTAACAAACACGGCCATGCGATGGATCATTGGGATGATCCCTGCCACAGCATCGGCCATCCAAAATGGCTTCATAAAATGCTTCCCATATCCACACCTAGAGTCCTAGAGCTATCTACTCCAGTGAAATAGGGTGAACTTATATAAATCCAATTATAACTGGTCATCATTCCGGATGAATCTCATCATTAAGCTGAAAAGTTCGGCCTGGCACAGTCCCACACCCAGCGCAGGAGGCCCAGGGCCTTCACAATTTCCATTGGAATGTCCTTGGTCTTTGCAGACCTCAGATAAACACCGCCAGTGCCCGGGACGCTGAACCCGGATGTTTCGGAAAAGAGCAATGACTAAATCAATGGAATTTATAGGAAATTATAGGAGTGGTAAGATTTTTTTAAAAAAATTGCCTCCATTATTTTTGACTATTTGTAGGAATGCCTATGGAAATTCAAAAAAACACTGGAGGATTGAGGTTCTGGGCAAGTGAAATTCGACATGAAAGAAACAACGCACGAAAGAACGACCGGACAAACGGATGATTGATTGATTGAATGATTGATTGAATGAATGAACCAATGAACGAAACATTGAAAGAATCAACGAACGAAAGAAAGAAACACATGAATGCATTAAATGGATTGAAATGGACCATTAATGTGGAATAACATGACATGTCATGAAATAAAATTAGTTGAATCGAATGAATGAATAAATGAATGAATGAATGAATGAATGAAGGAGTGAGTTGCATTAATAGAATGACATGAAAAGACATGACATGAAACGAAATGAAACGAACATGAACATGAAATGACATGAACATTAACTTAAATGAATTGAACACACATCAATTGGAAATGAAAAATGCATGAACGTGAGCATGGACACAAAAATGAAGACGCAACTGATATATGAAAATGAACCGAAATGAAATGACATTAAAATGAAACTAACAAATGAATGACTGAATGAACGCACATTCACTTGCTCCAGACTATTACTGTGATCTACAGTACTGTTTCCACTTCCCAACTAATGTGCTAGCTGCGTGGTTTTTTTTGATGACGGCTTCAGACCATGGACATTCTTCGGACTTCGACGCTCTGTTCGTCTCAGAGTCTCCGGAATCTTCCGGACACTTTTAAACATAAAGTGTGTCATCAAATCACCCAGCGGCAAAAACACGCTGTTGTTGAACGCAGATCCTTCTCGCTCGGCCTCGTAGTGCTTGGGGTACTAATGGATAAGAACAATACCCCGGTTATGAGTTATGAACAAGCATCATTACATATATATATGTATATATATATACATAAATATTGATTGTATCATTTATACCCATTACTAATAGTTATTGTTTATTTATTACTATTCATCAGAATCATAAAACAATAATCACAATTGAGTCCAATATATGGGAACAGTATGGAATCGTATAGATATATTCTTGATATATCTTGATATGATACCCTCGAGTAAATTCACAAAACGATGTGGACAACAATGGCTAACCCCACAGGAAATGATGTATGTTTTTGGTGGATTTTTCCGTATCATTCCATATCTATGTTCATTTATATAATATTATATAATCATCCTGAAATAGATAGACTATTTTTTTTCCCAAGATATTCCCAAATTTTGCTGGGATTTTTGTTGACCTGTGAAACATGTACTGTACACCAGCTGCAAACTGCGGGTGATTTTTTTGGCCATCTTCGTGCCGAAAATGGGGGCACACCGACAGAAAAAATCGAGGTTTCCTAAAATAGGGGTACCCCGAGTCATCCTCCATTTTAGTAGGGTTTGCCCTGAAATAAACCATCCATATAGTTTCTTTTTTCCGAAAAAAAGCATTGGGATGGAACCAAAATGAACCAAACACAAAGCTCGATGGCTCCAAATGGCAGTGTGTCAAAACCTTGTACCCCTGGTGAACATCAAAATAGCTGGTAAATGGATGTTCGTCCCCCTAAAAATGGTATTAATAGGTATTGATCCATCCCCAAATAAAGCCCGGCCTCTTTTGAACCAGCTTTCCGCTTGGCCTCCCATGTGTCGATTCCAGTTGCAACTTTTTCTCCCCGTCTTTGCCTCTAGTTGCGCTGTATTAAATAGTCTATGACTATACCTTTCTACCAAGATCTAATTCTTAACATACTATAAATATACTATACTGTAAATAGTAAATATACTACACATATACTATAAATATACTATAAATATACTATAAATTTACTACACATATACTATAGATATACTATAGATGTACTATGAATATACTATAATTGCTTCTTTCTGAAACATTCGGCCTGCTTTGGCGGAGCTGCTTTTCGCTTTGCCTCGGCCACAAAAAATCATTGCAGCTTATATACCCTCCTGCAAACTAACATAGCTAGTTGGTGGTTTCAATGGATTGGATTAAGGGAAAATTTACTGGTTTAAGCCCCATTTTTAATGGGAAAATCGATGGTTTCCGGTTAAGATTTTCCCTTAAACCAATCCATTGATGGTTTTAACCATCTTGAAAAATATGATATATGGAAAGGATTAAAGGATGACTTATCCCATATTAATGAAATTTATGAAATGGAAAATAATCCATTCATGTTCCAAACCACCAAGCAGATAGCTATTCAAAAACATGTGATTTTCAATAGCCATGTTAGAGGGTATTACACTTTTTCGATCCTGTAGATTCCTCATGTACCGACATCTCACTTTTCAACCCTTTCTGAATTTTATAGGAAGGCCCCTCACAAAAGACCCAGCCGAGCAAGAAAGCAGTTTTATAATATAATATGATCTTTAAACATCTATTTACAATGATGGGTTTCATCCCTCTTTGCAAAGATGATCATTTCAATCATTGAATAAGCTTCAGATTCTAAACATCATGATATATTTCATGATATTTCCATAATTTTCCATGTTATTTCCACATATCTTTCCCATTTCAACCGAGTTTTTTCACATCTTCGGGCCTCCTCTTGACCACCTACAGCTCCACGGCACCTGCCAGACACACCCAAACTGGTCGACTTTCAGAAAAAACACACATCATGGTTTACTTCAGAATTTGAGGCCCCATAAACATACAAAATCATACAAATATATAATATATAAATTAAATGATCAAACAATGATCAAATAATGATGAAATGGTTGGGTGAGGGTGTTTCTTCAAATTCTGCACCCTGGGAAGACGAAGAATGACCAATTTTGGTGGTTTTAGGGTTCCCATCATGCAACAAAGATTGACCACCGTGCTAGGACGAGCCAGCACAGAGAAAAGTGATGTGCTTCCCACAGTTGAAACACCCCACAAGTCAAGAGCATTCAGGACTTATCTTTTACATTCTCTTACCATTTGGGTATTGCTCAACATCATTTTTATCCATGTGCCCCGCAACATTGGTAGCTTTGAAATCTATCAACCCATCCAGTAGACGGAAAATCTTCGTCGGCGCTGGGCTCCCATGCTGATTGCACACGGCCCCAAAGGACAGGAGCTCGTTATCCCGGAGCCTTGGGAAGGACAACTCGAAAACGTCGTACATTTGACGTACCCTCTGGTAAACTAACATAACTATGTAAAATCACCATTTTTCATGGGAAAATCCACTATAAATCAACATTTTCAATAGCTATGTTAAATTACCAGAGGGTACTTTCTCTTAACAAAGTCCATCATTTTTCCTTCTTTTTTTGAGTTTTTTGGGACCAGATCAGCGAATTTTTATGTGGTAAAGCCATAACCATCCCCACAATACCATTTTTATGGCTGGTAAATATCATGCCCTGTCATGGTTGTTTAATGTTGTTGGCATTGGGTCAACCACATTCTATCTATGCGAACCATGGTGCTGGTATATAAACACATATAAACACCTACATAACTGGGTGATTTTATGGCAAATGTTGGGATTCATATTCCAGCACCGTGGTTCGCATATGATCCATAAAACTTCCGGAAGCCGCTGACAAAACGGACCACGTCTTTTAGCTCAGCCAAAGGGACGCCGCTGAAGACCGCTCACTGCGGGCTCAACGGCTCGTCACGACGCAGAGTGCCCCATTTTTTTTGCGACAATCAGCAGCCGCTGGAGATTCAAATGTCACTAATATATACTAATATCACATGTCAGATACTGGGATTCAGCACACAAAAATCCAAAGATCTTTCTACTTTTGGAAGTTTCTTCCTATTTTTTGGCACCCACTTGCAGCTACACAGCGACACGGCGCTCCAATGCGGTCACTTCCGCTCCACGGTCATCTCCTGGTCCTTCTGCTTGTGCCTTTCGGACCATCAATGCTTGCAATATGCTAAAAAAACATTGGCTTTACCCTCTGGTAAACTAACATAACTATGGAAAATCACCATTTTTAGTGGGTAAATCAACTATAAATGTTAAATTACCAGAGGGTAACCATTCCATACAACCCCATTTCAAGTGCCAAATCATCACTCTGTGGCCTGTGGTCCTTCGGCAAGATCAGCGCGGCATCGTCTGCAAAGGCATTCCTGTCATTGGTTCATGCCAGTTGGTGGCGCCGCAACATCACTGATAAATAAATAAAATAAAGAAAAAAACTAAATATGCAATGTATGATGTATGTCGGTGTATGTATGTGTATAAATATTTTACACAATTCACACAGTCACAACCCCTCTTAAATATGGAAATTCGACACCTGCTTGAAATTTTCGCAAACGTTGGCTGGTTGCTGGCTTCAACCCATTCCCGGTCGGGAACGCGCCACTAAACCACTTGGGGTCATAATCCCACGTAGGGCCATAGGGCTTGAAACTAAAATGCACTTCATCACAGCAATTCATGGAAACATCTACTGATTGGTGGTTTCAACCCCTGTGAAAAATATTAGTCAGTTTTCCACTTTCCCGTTGCCTGCCAAGATCTCGCTCAGCGATGCAAGAAGCCAGCTTGGCGTGCTTCTTACACCAACTGAAAAATATTAGTCAGTTGGGATTATTATTCCCAATATATGGAAAAATAAAAAATGTTCCAAACCACCAACCAGTCTTGAAAGCACCAACCGCTCACCTTTGTGACTTTATCTACAGATGGGCTGAACATGAATGTATATATATATAGTATATACCATTAACATCCATTAACATCCATTAACATCCATTAACATCCATTAACATCCATTAACATCCATTAACATCCATTAACATCCATTAACATCCATTAATCATCTCCCATGAAATCCCATGAATAAGCCATGATTTCTTCTTTTTCCACTGCCATGGGTGAAAAGCAATGGCTTGTGATTTAACCGCTGGCTGAGTTGATGAACGAATCCGGAGTTGACATCCCTATCCCGGATGGCCTATTATATATATGGTAGGTATATGTAGCGGTTTCTCTAATTTTGGTTCCTGAAATGGCCAAAAAACTTGGGACAATGGCAAGAAAGCAATCCATTTTATGGTAATATTGTATGGGAATATTATGGTGGTACAACAAACAATGTAGGGATTTGGGTTTGTCTGAAAATGTGGTGTCCCCCCCAAGTTGCAATTTTCATGATTAACTATATCGGATTTTGGCCTACCATATGTTTATATATAATCATATATACTCACAGGATCATTCCACTTAGTGGTTAGGAACCCTGGTTACCAGCTGGTGTGACAGTGATGAGACGGTATGGACGTTTATTCCCACAGTATGGCAATTTCACAGGTAACTTGCAGAATGGTGCCCCCCAGTTATGTTTTTTGTTTCACACCATGAATACTAGCTCGTTATATCATGTTATATCATGTTATATCATGTTATATCATGTTTCCGAACGGCTTCCCCCATCCAGCCGCACCTCGGCCCGGCGGCCCCTTGCTGGGACTGCTCATGAGGGCCTAAGCTCCGGTTGAGATTCCTAGGATTAACCGTTGCGTTGCTGGGTTTTGTGCAGTGACCCATGGTCTAACTTGCTTGCTGCTATGAAAATTATATCTCAATACTTACTTTATTGTTAGTAACCCAATGAGTCACCCATTAAGACTATTAGTAACTCCTTTGACCATGGCAAACATGCGGATATCCTCTTATATAAATTGGTTGACTGTGGTGACTTGTTCTTTTCTGGAGTTACATGGAGTTACCCAATCTTGACAGTCATTTAGATGTCAAAAACAACATCGAACATGGAGGTTCCGTAGTTCGGGAAGTTGGCGAGCAGATTCCGGGAAGAAAAGCCCTCTGCGAATTTCTATGGAAAATCATGATCTTTACGAGGTAAATCATTGAACTGTACAGGCCATTTTCCATAGCTTAGTTTACTGCAGGGTAAACTAAGCCCCCGAACACTTCACCAACCGACTGGGACCATTTCAGTCGCCAGGAGGGCAAACTGAGACTCATGGGGATTCCCAAAAAAAACGTGGCAGTTGGTGGTCAATGAACCTGTTATTTTCACGACTCATCAAGCATTTTGTTGACCAGTAAAAATCACTGATGGATACTTCACCGGGGATTCTCTGGTTGCTGGGATGAAAAAAATGGGGGTTCCTGGGTTCCTCGACTCCAAATGATGTTTAACCAAGTTCAATGTGGAAGCATTAGCCCAAAAAAATGGTGCCTCCTGTTGCTGAGGCCTCGGACGTCGCAAACAGCTACCTGCCACGTTGGCATCACGCTGGCGCAAATGACCAGTGATGGGCCCCTAGAAGTTCGGAAAAATCTAAGAGATATGGAGGCTATGACTATGACGATCACAAATCACAGGGTTTCATATCCCAAATGTTGATCAAATATGGCAAACTGGGACCAAGTTTCCACAGAGGTTTGCTGCGTTTGAATCATCGTTAAGTCGTAAGATTTTGCCATATTGGAGGACACAGCGGAGGGTATCCCAGAAAGTCTAGCAGTTGCTGGCATAGCTTCGCCCAAGAGTCCCCAACATTCCCCGGGATCCGCTGGGCAATTATCAGCCATACTCCCTGAAGCGGGCAGCCATTTGGGGGTATCATGGGGTATCCTATTCCAATGAATTCCAGCGTATTCAATGGGGTGAAAGACCCGCTGGAATTCTCATCCTTTCCATTTGAATCACATTTCTTTGAGGTACCCAGCATGTTATACCCCATCTAATGGCTTGAAATAAATACTTCAGATTACCCCATTAATCCATGGAACATCCATTAAACATCCATTGAAATCCATTGAAATCCACTAAACATCCGTAAAACATCCATTGAAACCCCACTAACCCTCCACTCAAAAAGAGCTCCCCCCGGGCCTCCGCCGAGGGCACCATCTTTGGATCGCCCGTAATGATGATCTGCGCCATGGCGTTGCCAGCGGGTTGATTCACCTGGCGCCATGAGCCCCCAGCTGGGGATTAATCCATAACAAAAAAAAATGGGGGGTCATTCTTGCAGGACTGAAGGGAAAAATGAAGGGGACACAATTCCCGAAAAATTCCTTCCAAGGCTTCATCACCTGGTTTTCCCCATGAAAATTGCTATTCGATGTGTCTGAAAATTGGGATTCACCCATTCAAAGTGGCCATTTCTCTGGGAACATGACATGTTTTTTATACCCATGATTGGCTGGCCATCGGTTAGAAGGATTTTTGATGCAGCTGGGTGGTTTAAAACTGGGGGTTTCACCCTCATGGCCATTAAAAAATATAGGGACAATGATGATCTTACCTGCAGGAAAATGGGGGTCACCATATTTTCAAACAACTCCACCAAAAATCTGTGGATGAACACGAAAATCGCTGGGATGGGCCGTGAACATTCCAAGAACAAATGCTGTGAAAACAGCTTCAGTGGATTGGTTCAAGGAACAAATTGCAGGAACCCGTGCAAAAAAAATCTGGTTGGTGGTTGACCTACCCCTCTGAAAAATATGAGTTCGTCAGTTGGGATGATGATTCCCAATATATGGAAAAATAAAATTCATGTTCCAAACCTCCAACCGGAAATGGTAGAACTGTGTAGAATTAACTCTGTAAACTTGCCCTTAAACCAATCCATTGAAAGTCTTGAAAATGACGCTAGTGCGATATTGGTATGATATGGGTTTGAGAAGGTTTTCTTAATGACTCAAATATCCCAATTACAAAGGTAGCAAACATTGTACTGATATTTTGACAATGCAGACTGAATCTCGTGAAGAACGTCATTAAACGTCGTTATTTGAGATCGAACCATATTTGCAAACATATACATAAATCATCATAAATTCTCACATAAATCCTATAGTCACAAATCCTCATAATTCCTCAAACAATCATATAGAAGTGATCCCTAAACCCATGAGGCTTCTGCACCAGCCGACCTTGATGGTGACGCCGGGGTGGTTCTTCCGGATGCCAGTGATGGTTGCACCTGGATCTGCTGTGGATCTTTGGAACAGATACGACTGGGTGTGTATGACAATCATGATAGTTCCAGTAGATGTTTTTCCAATCTCCATATTTCTACAATTTTCTACATGTCTACTTATTTTTCCATATCTTTCATTTTCTACATTTTCTACATTTCT